ATTCTGATTTTTTTGTAATGAATAAGCTCTAACTTGACATAAATATTTATCGTGATTGTTTATTTTTCTAATCGCACGTTACGAAATTGCAGTCTCATCATGCAATATGCGTATACTATAGGCATAGGCGGCGGAGCCACGAGGCCTGGGTAGGCACGAGCCTACCCTAGATTGGAGGAGAGTAGGCTTGGGTAGGCTCAGGTAAAGGCTTGTGTAGGCTCAGATAAATGCTTGGGTAGGCTCGAACCAGTACAGATAAAGGCTTGACTAGGCTCGATTTAATGTAAAATTTTTCTAATATTAGATAATTTTCATGTTCTTCTGTCAGATGACACCTTATTACAAGGTCAGTTCACATCTTATTATTACAAACTCGTGCCCAGTGACATACTGATTGGTTTCGTTGACGTCTATATTTACGTTGAATTTTTTATTTTCAATATAAGATAATTTAACTTTTGTTCTAAACTTCTATTCAAAACAACGTTTGAATTGTAAGTAATTAAAGAACAGTACTCTTCCATAGGCGGTGGAGCCATTAGGCCTGGGTAGGCTCAAGTTCACCCTAGACTGGCTGAGGGTAAGCTTCAGTAGGCTCAAACTTGGACAGAGCAAGACTTTTGTAGGATCTATTAAATGTGAAGGTTTTCTATTATTGTCTAGTTTTCCAATTTTTCTCGCAGATGATACGTCGTTATAGAGTCAGTGTCAGTCATAGGCGGCGAAGCCATTAGGCCTGGGTAGACATAGCTCTACCTAGACTGAATATCTAAAAAGACGTTCATACACTTCATTCTACATAAAAATGTTATATTATTGCTAAATTTTTGTTTGCTTATAACGCATGATATATTATTACAAGATCAGTTTATTCAGTATCTGCTACCAACCATAGGCGACGAGGCCACAATGGCTGAGTAGGCGAAAGCTCATCAAGATTCAAGTTTCATAGGCTAAGAGAGACTCAAACATTTGCTTCTCACTCCATCAGATTAAAAAACTTGCGTACTGCTCGAAAGTTTTTGCTGCCATCAGCGGTAGCTGCTAACATTTTTAGGGAAAAAACTGAGTTTCGTATGACTAAGTGTTGCAACGTACATTGATAATGAGTTCACGTTATGCTCTTTTGTTACAAATGAAGAATCACCTTACAGGTTACTTACAATCATATCTGCTGGATGATGTCAAAATTCTCTCGCCTTTCTGCAGTTACTCTCAGATGCCAATCAAACATTTTTAACACGCTGAACAAACCCACAATGAGATTCCTTTTCTGTGAGCACTGCTGCGTCGCCATAATTCTAGTTTGCACTAATACAAATCAAAAACTCTTTCCAATGTGCAGCTCTTGAGATAGGTTCAGAATCTAACCAACTCTAGTTCTGAGCCTGAATTTGAAATTTCTCTGTTGACTAGAGTCAGATCTGGATCCAGGCACAAATTCTCGAATTCAGACCTGATAGGCTCTAGCAGCACGTAAGAACTAGTTAAAACTTGGTTATTACGAGATTATCGTCAAAATTGTTTGAAAAATGTGTAGGGTGTGCTAGTTGCCCGAAAAATTAATAAAAAGAATGTAGCATCTTTGAAATAATTATCAAATTGAGAGTAAAAACCTTGCATTGAGAGTACGAGCACTACGAATCCGGCTTCGGATCCTAAAATTTTGCGTCCGATGGACTATATTTGAGGGTCACTATTTAATGAAAACAAAAGTTTAAGTAACTCTTTGAATACAAGTTTTTTGCCACAAGTTGCAAACTCATCTCTGATCTGTGCTAATGTTATGCATTAAAACATTTGAGTTCGAAATAAATAATATTGATTGTATTTTATTTGAATGACATAGCATAAAAAATGACCCTCTCTATCTTTAACTTGTCAGTAAGGCTCGTATAAAAATATTGAGCCTACCCTAGATTCAAAACGCTCCGCCGCCTATGACTATAGGCAAATAGCTTGACTAGTATATCAATTGGTCGAAACATAAGAAAAGATAAATGGCTTGTTCCTGGAGGAGTTAGGATGGGTACTACTCCACATATATACTAATGAAATTCTACTGGTATCTGAGTACCAGTAACCGACTGTATCTATTGATATAAGCACCAAATTGTACTCCATTCAAAATCAAAATAGAACATTAATTCTCTTTTTATGAATTACTAGACATGATATATGGTGTTTACATATACAGAGTGTCCCAAAAGTTCTGAAACAATTTTAAAATTTATCGCTTTGGCATTTAACAAAAGCAAACTTTTTGACATTTTGGCTGGTTATTGTACATATTTAATATTATATAAGAGCAAAGTTTAAGGTCTATAGCCTTTACTATGAGTGAGAACCGCTAACAACATTGTCATTTACTATTTTTTTCATTTTCCCAATAGTAAAAATTGATAAATTTCCAAAACAATTGAATTTTTATGGATGAGTGGTAACAACTTATCAGCCCACAAGATCGTGATCATTGTAAGAAAATGTGTTTTACGGATGATAGATATGCAAAACTCTTGTGAGCTATTGTAGTAGAAAAAGCGACTTGAGAATCAGATGGTTCGTGAAATGTTATTTTTGAAGATAATCACGATGATAAACTAAGTTGGTGGGCAGTTTTGACTGCTTTTAAACATATTTTTAACAATCTGATTGAACCAATAATTGGACTGCCAAACTAGTCGACGTTTGACCTATACAAAAGGTTTCGGACGTGTTAAAAGAAAAATTACGAGGGTGGAAATGCACTAATATTGAATAATTGAAAAAACGACATTAAAAAGTAATAGAACAAATTTAGTGCTTTCCACATCAGTAAATGATAGAGAAAATACCAATATGATGACAATTAACACTCGATCAGCATAGTAATTAAATTAATAAACATTAATAACCTAAAATAATTGCTTTTTTATTTCGAAAAGTTGTATTTTTTTATAAAACATAATCAAATATACTAGGAAAAATTTCCAAAATTAAAACATAGGAGCGTTGTTACGATTTTTCATCCATTACCCAGGTCGATCGTTCCGGCCACCGGATATTGCAGGAACCGGCAGGAAAATGCGGGAAAAATCACCGTATCCTGCAGGAAAACACCGGAAATAGCCGGAACATGGAAGCAGTACTCCGGCCGGAAATTCTCCGGATTTTTTCCGGTGAATTCCGGCCTATTTCCTGTGTTTTCCGGCAGGAACCGAGCGGAAAATCAGCGGAAAAAATTCCGAAAATTTCCGGCCGGAATACTGCTTCCATGTTCCGGCTATTTCCGGTGTTTTCCTGCCGGAACCGGCCGGTACTTTTCGACCTGGGTAAAAGAGCTATAGATCTGACACTTGGAATCATCTACTATTAATTAGGTACACTAACTTGCCAATATTTCAAAGAGCGTGATTTTGTTGAATGCAAGCATAATAAATTCTAAAATGGTTTCAGAACTTTTGAGACACGCTTTCATAAACCAACACCACTATGAACAGAAGCTTGAAAATACAGAACTCAAGCATTCAGATCAGTTTTCTCCTGATAAATTCACGTAGACTTACTGTGCAATCATCTTTTAGAAATAGTGTTATGTAATTGATCGGTAGGTGAAATCAAAAGTTCATCTCTATTCTAGAAAACAACCTGTGTTCGTTTAATGGATCGGTGCAATGGATAATTTTATTTCAATCGGCTAGTATTGCAATATTATCTTTTTTGTATTCAATACAATTGATTGGTCAATGAATTTAAGCTGGAAGATGATTACAATCCATGGCTCAAATTGGGTCTTCGACTATTCCTATTGTCTTTATGATTAGGTTTAGGGTTAAGTGGGTTGGTCATTGAGCGCATTTCTTGTCTTTATCTACACTCGCCCACGTGTAATTCGAGCAACCATAATAAAAACCAATCGAAAAACGTATCTAATAATAGTTAGTATTGCTTATATTTGATCTTTTCACACATGTTTTTGATTTGTTTTAAGACTATCAATGGATAGAGCTCGACAGATTACTTGAATTGACCAAACTTAGCCCTACGAAAAGCATTCTTTTAGTATGAGCTTCGATGAAGATGGACTTAATGATCAAAAATCGGTCTTACTTCGCATGGAATCGCCTGTGTTCTTTAATCTCTACTCTTTCTCTGCTCAAGAAGTTTAGACTGGACATATCTCAAAATTATAAATGGCATGAGATAAATTTCTCTACAACTTCGTGCTTCGTTTGCTCTCGGATAGATCAAAAAAAAAGCTTTTGAGGAATAAAGGATGGCTCATACTATTGTTGAAATAACTGTGGTTCGTGAAACTTGATTATCATATTCGAAATTCGTTCTCTTGGATTTATAACTACACATTATTCCAAGTGATTTTGAGCAAAAGTTTCCTAGAAACCTGTGATGTGCCTCAGGCATGAACAAGCTCTTTATAGAAGTTCGAGAAATAAAATTGTGAGGTATCATCATGGGTTTTCTCTAATTCTAAGCAGATATGCAATGATCGAATCGTAGAGAGTCGTAATATTGTTTTATTTGCATTAGTCTGTTCAGGTTACGAATAAAGAACACTAAGTTTCAAACAAAACATCTGGCGACTTTCTCAGTCTCCTTTATCTAGAACATCTTGGTATAATGTTCAATAAACAATAAAAATTAGGATATTCTATACAGGTCTAGAACAATTGAGTGTACTCTCTATAGCAAAAAAGTTTGAAAAATCACTAAGACTCTGCGACTGATAGAAACTGAAGCGGATTGCTGTGAATGAGTGACTGGCATGAACTATCGGATAGATAGAAGGCTTTTTTCTAGTGGAATTATTTCATTTTAATTGGATAATGTATATATAATTTTAAATTAACTGCTCTTTAATACTAATTACGTTACAAACACGACTTGTTCGTTTCTTTAAAAACTTAAAATTATCTGCTGTTTTATATTAATTTTCAAAAGACTTCTAGCGATCTTCTGAAAGGCGCTTCCAATCATAATACGTATGCTGGTAAATCCAATGTCTATTGGAATTGATGCATCATGCGATGAAACTGTCTAGGACTTTGATCAAAACCGGCATTCAAATGAAATTCAATAACGCGCTGATGAATGTCATTGTTAGCGTTGATTGGCCGAAATGCACCCACTCTATGGAAAATATGTTGCTGATGCATTTGATTGTCGAAATGTGGACATAGAGGAACTGGTGTACGTGATCGTGGATGTTTTACCGCATTGAGAAACTGCTGTTGACTCTCTTCTTGAGCTCGAGGAAAATTCGATGGTGGACTAGGACATCGCGCTGGTCGCTTATCAATTTTTATTGGCTCGAGTTTGATGACCTGATCATGATCATCATTGCAAGCATCGTCGAAGTATTTCATTCCTTGAACGCCTTGCGGAGCTGGCTGTTGATGTTTTGATCGGCGAAAACCAATACGATGACGAATACTATTGAATTGTTTCATCATATCATCGAAGTACTGACGAATCAAATCCGAATTGAAACGTGGTCTTGGTGGCAGTGAATAGACTGGCCTAGGCTCCTCTTTCTGTAGTTTGTGATATTCATCATAGAATTTGACAAAAATGGCATCCTTCGTTGCTAGTGTTTGACTGGTATAGTTGGGATGCTTCTCCTTGATATATTTCTCTGCTGCTCGTCGATACATATTTAGCACGTCTTCAAGTTCAACAGCTGTTGGCCGCTGAGTTGGTTCATGATGAATGCATCGAGTAATCAGATCAAGAAAGATAGAACTTTGTTCAGTAATTTGAATGCGTTTAGTGGCTTGAATGAATCGATGAAGTTTCTCCGTAAACAATTCATTCAATGTTAATCCAAAAGTAAACACATCGAGTGATTGATCATATTGACCGTCTCCTCTGTACAAATAAAAAAGTAGTCATCATTGCCTATTACTCGAATTTCAATGGTTTACCTATGAAACTCTGGTGGCATAAATGGCAAACAACCTATTAATGTGTGTTTTTCTTCCGGATTGAAGACATGAGCTATACCCATATCACCGATTTTAGCTGTGTAGTTACTTGAGACAAGAATATTGTCGGGACGGATGTCACGATGAATCATTGTGTGAGCGTGTAACTTGCGCATACCACTAACAACATGGCATGCCATGGTCAATTTACGTCGAAGTGAAATTTTCTCAATACCATTGTGAATGACATTTGAAAGACTTCCGCGATGCATCAATTCGGTTATCAAATAACATTCTTTGATACCATTGGCTATCAGACGTTCTCCATAGCCAAATGTTTTGAGAATGTAAGCGCCTGATAGTTCAGCATAAGCATTTAGTTCTTTTCGAAAACTATCTTCCAAATGGCGTCGATGTGCTGTCACTCGAATTACTTTGCATGCTACTTCACGATTTTTCGATAACCAAATGGCCTTATAAACTTGACCTATAAAAAAAAATGTTTCAACAAACAAACAAATAAACAACATGAGAGAACACACCGAATGCTCCATGACCAAGCACGTCACTCTTGAGAATATCATTTATATCTATTTTGAGTAGACTTTGATTGCTTGCAGCAACTAGTGGATGAGTATTTTTATGACTTTTACTGGTCACTCGCTGTTGCATACACTTTGAACATAAATTGTAATTGTGACAAGTATCGCATTTGAATCGAGTACCAATAATCTGCATCGAGCAACCATCACATTTAGTGTTATGTTTTTTGCCCGCAAGAAGCTCATTCAATTTCGCTAACGTAATATCATTTGAACTAGATACGTGCTGACCGAATAATTCATTAGGTATTTTAAAATGAACCATTGCATGACCACTCGAGTGTGGTCGTGTTTCACGTCGTTCTTCGAAACAGTGACCACATAAATCATAATCAATACATTGTAAACATTTGTATCGATCACTGTAGATCTTAGCTGATCGACAGCTATCACAAGAGGCATTGTGTGTGTTATCAGACGAGATGCCACCGATTTCCTCGTTGTTATTATATGGTTTTGCCATATTGAAATAATTTATATGTTATAAAATTCGTCGTAATCTAGAAAAAAATCGACGAACTTTCGAGTTGATTTCGTTCATGTTTTGTAAGGCAAGAGTACAGCAGTCATTTTGTTGGCAGATTTCAATCAAATACAATTTTATAAGAGATATACAAACCTTTTTCTACGATTTCATAAACTTCTTAAATCATGTGTCTTCAATTTGCTGCTTAATTCTGCAACACGGAATGACATCTAGAAGTTTGCTATGCTACTGCGCGTTAATTAACAAGAAAAAAAATCATGGTTATAAAACTTTTTTTGATACAAATGCTAAAATATCTTGTATGCAGAAAGAAAAAACAGACGCAGTTAGTGGCCTAATCTATGAAGAAAAATGAGTAACGTGAGATGTATGAGTCAGATGTTTTCGATTATGTTGATTCAGCAAACACTTGACTGACTGTTTCTAGAAACATGTTGCGATGCATGATTTTACGTAGACTTATTCACAGAATTGCAAAAAACTGCTGAGCGAGAAGCTAGATGATTCATATAGCGACCGACAGCGTCTGTATTCAACAAGGTAGTATTCGCTGCATGTCGTATATGATCATTAGAATACTTACGCATGAGCTGAAAAATGGCAGTTCTGTTATGTTTCATGGCTAAAATCAAGACTTTTCTTATCATTCACCTGTGGCTACTAGTTAAAGTTCAAAAAGTCAGTTGAGTCACTCAGAAGACTGCAGTGAAATAGGCCATTGTCATTCATACATATAAAACTTAAAACTTGAATTCAATTGAAATTTCAAGTTTTCAGAGCGACGGGGATAAGTGCTTTTCCCTATCTAACTGACCTTTATGTTAGTGTCGTGATGTGGGGACGCGAAGCGCACCTCGAAGAGCCACGAACCATGCACGTCTCTATGTACATAGTAATCCAGAAAATTTCAAAACTGGAAAACTTGAAACTTGAAATTTCAATTGAATTCAAGCTTCAAGTTTTATACTACTGTTATTATGGAATCTTATTTAATTATGTTTTGAACAATAGTCCATCTAAAACCTCTATGCTAAAAATTTTACTTACATACGAACGTTGCATAACAATTCAATTACGTGTAGAGAAATTTTTTATTATTTCATTTTCGAGTTTTTTTGCTTGGAGTTTTTCACTTTTTTTTCTATCTCAGATGAGTACACTTTATTCGATCATTTGTACATTTATTTCAGATGTTTCGAAGTGACACTTATGACAATGCTCGTCAAGTTCACTTCAGATCATCAGCGAACTTTTTATTGATCTTTACCGATCAATATGAGTATGACAACTCGAAAAGCTACAGATATATGATTAAACTCCCATGAGATAGGACTGTTTGGTGAATGATGTATTCATGCTTTTTAGCTTTGATTTTGATTTCGGTTAATTTATTGTTCTGTGCTTGCTTTTTTATGTTCGCAATACAAACTCCATTTTTCTAGTTTTATGTTTTTTCTACTATATTTGCTCTCCTCTGTTGATCTACTATATTGCACCGACACCCGATCACCCTGCAGTTTGTAAGAAGATAGAGTCAAAATGAATGCAAACTATTTACCGTCTTTTTGCACTTTATTAAAATCTTAACTCGATCTCTACAACTATTAAGGTCCTATAATTTATTTGTTAAAAAAGATGAATGCCGTTGTACTGATAGTTACTGATGGACTGTCGTTTCACATGTAAGTAATTTTCTTAGTCATGTATATTACAATTGACATGTGAACAAAGTTTTGCGAAGGCTAATTTATAAGGCTTATACTTTCATAAAAAATCAGCTAGATGATGAAGATATAAAACATAGTCTATTCAGCTCATTTTCGACTAATCTTCAACAAAAAGGAAGCAAAAGTTGAATATTTTCCTTCGATTAACGATGTATTGTTATAGATAACAGAGTCTGAACAAGATGATATTAATGTTATACATATTATCATCTTTATTTTCTAAAGATGAAACTTCAGCTCAAACCAGTTATCTTTAAACGGGAGAGACGAATTCAAGACATTATTTTATTCACAGTTATATTCAAGGCTTCTATAATTAAGACATAGAATAGAAACCGATTTTGTGTTCAGCTATTCTTGTCATTGCTTTGACCATGCATTTATTTTATTAAATATATTAGGAAAAATTTATTCGCTACATAATAAAATTCATTCGTGGATAATCCGTCTTTCTGTTCTATTATTTTTTCTGATATTGATTATTTGAATTTATCTTGTGGTACTTTTTATTGTGTGCAATTTTAAAACCAAACTAAGGTACTTGTGACTCGTTAACAGAATTTTAAAAATTAACTTAGGAAAAAGCAAGATTCTTATAAGTCATGCGTGGAATACGATACAATAAAAACAGAAAGGATCTTACGCATTTATTTTCGGAGATATAAACAAAACTAGTCTAGCTTGCTTGTTATTCACTTTTTGGTATTTACTACGAATATAAATACAGTGCCTTGCAAAAACAGGTAGCATTAAATAATAAATTTCATTAAATTCACAAATAACCAAATAGCATTTATATACACTTTTGATAAACGATTCATTAGATTGATTCGAGAAAGAGGAAAAACTCCAGTTGACGAGAGGAAGAGTTCTTTTCCTCAAATACCTACAACTTCTAATTAAGCGTCAGTAATCGAGATAATTTACTAAAAATCGCTTGTTACGACTTTTTCATTAGTTTAGTTAGATGTTCGTTCGAAAATGTAATGATACAATATACTTATTAGTTATAGATTCAAAATGAATGTAATAAGTGCAATATTATTTTTAGATCTATTTCTGAAAGAAAAACTGCTATTGTTACTCTAGTTACATAACAAAGAAATTATTTACATAATCGTAATTACACTTACGAAAAACCAGAAGGACAGTGTTTAACCACTTGAAGATTCTGCGTCACGCCACTAGTCGATCGATTTAACCTCTTATGTACTTTTTTCGTAATGTTGTAGGTCACCAAAGTGTCTACAAGATACAGCATATTGAAGATTTTTATCGATTAATTATCATATAACAAAACTTCACAATCGAAAAAATTTACTAAAAAGGCTAAGGCAATTTTTTAGAAATTTTTGTCAAAACGAAGATTTGTTTTCCTTTAGCAATGCTATAAATGAGTCATTGGTATTTTTGAGAGTTTATATAATTGAATAAGAAGTCTCGATAAAAAATAGGTCTCTTAACAACTAATCCCATGCATATGAAAACTACTCGTATAAATTTACTATATTTTGATCATATCGCCAAAAATTCTACTGAGGAATTCAAAGAAAATATTTTCGATTTTCTAGATGAATAACTATTATTAGATTCAAGTTATTTTTTTTTGTTGTATACTCATACATATAAATGGCAATAGTACAGGAAGTAGTGAATAATGCTATAATTTAATATTTTATTATATCTATAGGATAACATTCTGAATGTGACAGATATGATAAATGGTCGTATACGCATAGACATTAGCCAATGTTTTGATACGACCGTGACCAGATAATTATTAGAAGGATATAATATTAGTAATAGGAGTGTTCTAATGTCACCAAGATTGGGAACAGGACACCCAACCGACTTCTCTTCCATTCAGGACACCCATAATTAGCAAATAGAATGTTAAAATTTTTGAAACTATTAGGAAAAATAATGAAACTTGTAAATAAATTAATTCTTCATTAATTAATTGCATAACCAATATCTTTCGTATGATTTTATTATAGTTATGAAATTATTAGACTTTTATATGAATTTGTTCTTGCAATAAAAGATATAAATCATTTGATAAATAATATATGTGCAAATAAATTCTTGTTGACAATTTATGCAGAACATGTTTGTTTTTCGAAGTTCATTTTGTACTTTTTACATCATAGACTAAAATCATGTTTTTGTTTGTCTGTTTTCGCCGTTCCCTTTATAAGAATGCTACCACTTGCAAACTGGCACTATTCTTGCCCAAGGTAAGTGGAAATATTCTCTCGTTGAGAATCATTCTCCAATAATCTTTTTAGAAACTAGTTCTAAGAATGATATCTCACTTATGTGTATTTAGTATGGGATTTTGGGGATTGGTCATTTATGAGTCAAATATTATTCGATTGTTCATATGTAATCTAAGTAGTTGCTCTCCTTAATCCTACACTTATTTTAATATCTTATACATGGTTAATACGGCTATATGTACAATCATAATAAGCATCGCAGGTTTTAATATGAAATCCAATATTGTCGAAGACTCCTTACCACATGATGAACAAGAATGAAAAGCATTAAAAATACTTGTTACTAATCAACGGTCACACATTACGAAACAACAATAAATTATTATCCTAGTCCTCATTTTGATTTGTTTTCAAAATAAGAAAAGAAGATAAGAAAATTCTTTCTAATTATCATCGAATACTATTAATGCTGTGAGGAGCACAACATTGATATACTTCGTCTCGAGTTTTTGTTTTATTTTTCTTTCTCTGTGTACACATCAAAAGTTGTGCTTTTCTGTCACGGTGATCTCTAGAGCGACAACTCAAAAGATAGTCGTTGAAACGTAAATTGAAATTACACACTAAAAAAAGGCTTTCCAAAGGGGAAAAATGAATTTCATAACTTCAGAAACCCTTAAAGGGTTCTAGATAATGACAAACACAGACATCCTTCAAGGTTTCCGATTTTGTCACTATCTGAAAGCCTTCAAGGGTTTCTGAGCTTCAGAAATTGATTTTTTCCTAGACAAACCTTTCTAAGGTTTTCGAGACCAATTTGGAAACTTACTTTGGTCGTTTTTTGAGAGAATCTTTTCTCTTGATTGTATTGAGATTGAATCGATATCATCTTTTTTCAGTCATCCTCAAGATGTTGCATTCTCTTACGAATAATGTTCTAAAAAAGCAAATTTTTTAGGACTTAGTTTTTTTTCAAGCTTCGAGATTGTAAGCAAATGAAACTTTCAGAGAGAGATTGGAATAAAATTGGTATCAATCCGATCTTGACACTTTCACCTCACGTTTTAATGATTATTTTCTTAGTTTTCGTTTCCGAAATCAGCCAGATTGAAAATCTCAATTTTGGATGTGTGCGTCTAGTAAGCAAAATTTTTAAAAAGTTGTGAAGGACTACATGAATGCTGTGCTGTTCACGGGACTAAAAAATGGTGAACAACTATCATACAGTGCTTCGAGTTGTGAGTGTAAGTGTGGATGAGCATTTGTTTGTATCTTGGTTAGGTGTATTAGAGTATGGATGAAGAGAAAACTTGGACTTACAGCCTTTACTGATAAGGTGACAGCTGCGCCTGACGGTTCTATTTCTAGAAGTTTATTGTTGTCTCACAAGATGCAAGAAGCTCTATCATTGCTATAAAACTTATATCGGATTGAAAGTTTTATTTTATGTTCATATTTTTTCTTCTTTCTACAAAATTTGTAAAAATACTGTTCAACGCAATATCAAGGAATTTTATTTTGACTGAACACAATAATTGAAATACGTTTGATTAGGGCACTCATTTTCGATCTTGTATCTGCTATGAATTTCAGCATCTCAACGTAAAATACTGCATTAAATCTGAGCAAAATCAAATATTAGAGTTAGTAAAAAATATCGTTCTTCATCTTGTTTGATGATACCACTCGAAAACATTGAAAAGTTATTGATCGTATTAATGAGACTCTTAACATCTGTTCTATTTCAGCCTTATTATTACTAAAAATTAACAAGCTTTGCATATTCGAACTCTCATATCTCTAAGGTCCGTACTAGAATCACTGTTTCAAAATAAAATTTGTAAAATGAATGATAAAATAAGGTATTTTATTGATTGTTTTCCTTGTTTGTAATATCTTATTTTCACAATTAATTCTTAAAAGTTGCTCTTGTCTTCAAAAAAAAGGTTCAAGAGTAAAATATGCTAGTCTATGTTGAGAATCGGCAACAAACAGTAAAACAATAAGTTTCGAGATGATTCAGTTAAAATAAAAGAATTGAATGAAAAACAATACTATTATTGTCAATGAATGTCTAATTAGCAGTCGTGGAAATGTGATGTGTGAGACAGCGTCCCTTAATTGCCCAAAATCTTTTTTTATTGTTTGCAAAAAAAGGAGTATGCTTTGACAAAATTTTATCCGACCTATCTAAGTAACGTTTTCGCAAGTCGGTTATTTCTCACTGTCTTTGATCTTCTAATCTTCGGATTCTCGTGCGACTACTGTGTATAATTTAATTTGTTCTACAAATATGCTAAAAAAAACAAGAAAATATATGAGAAAAAAATACAGCAGTCAAATGTATACCGTGTGTAGGAAGCCCCAGAATACTTATCATCACATGACAGCATCTGTTTTTATTCACGTATTCGATTTTCAGCATGTTTTTATTTTCTTTAAAAGGGCAGATTTTTTTATTGTTGAAATTATCACCGCTAAAGATTTTATTATAATGCATTCATATATATTTTTTTTCCTTGCCTGCTATTCAGCAGTTTATGGTGGTCCAGTTAATTTATTTATGAATGTAACGATCAATGATCGACCTGACTTAGTAATTGTTGAGGGTGATATAGCATTTGATGCGGGCTCAACAGCACCGCAACTTATTCCACTCAAAAATGCTTACATCGTATCATCAAAGTGGACTGGTGGTGTTCTTCCATACTTAATCGAGCAATCACAATTTACCGCGGCACAAATTACAACAATTACAAATGCAATGCGTAAAATTGAACAACAAACAAATAATTGTATTCGTTTTGTGGCACGCACAACTCAACCAACTTGGGTACGTATTTATGCCGGTACAGGGTAAGTGGTCAAAGTTATTTTTTTAAAAACTCTTATTTACTATATTTTTATTATTAAAATGAAATAGTTGTTGGTCATATATGGGAAGAACAAAGACAAGCGGTGCACAGGATCTTTCACTTCAAAAATCAGGCTGTGTTACTCAAAATATTGTTATACACGAACTATTACATGCCGTTGGTTTCGCTCATGAACAGACTCGACCTGATCGAGATCAACATGTTACTGTTAATTATAATAATATTGAAGCTGGTAAAGAAAGTAATTTTCAACGATATCTTACATCAGAAGTGAACACATTCAGTAAAGCATATGATATCGGTAAAGATATTTTTCAAAATCGATCCCTATTCATTATTTGACTTATTTAGCTTCTATCATGCATTATAAATGGAATGCTTTTTCGAAAAATGGTCTAGCAACAATAACTCCAAAAGGAAATGTTAGCCAATCAGTTATGGGCAGTTCAGTACAAATGACTAATTTAGATATCGAAAAAGTTAAAGCATATTATGGCTGTACTTAATATTTTGCAGCAAAATAAATAAAAATCGAGACAATATTCTATCGATTTCAACAGTGTTTAATGTGTTATTAATAATTCTATGAATATTCAAGCTATAAATTTAATGTTGTTTTTGTTTATTTAACAAATAAATAAACATTCACAATTGGATAAAAACCAACTAAAATATATAAACAAAGCACCACCTGCACACATACGATACAGTAAAAGTATAATAAATTATACAAATAGAACAATTCATAATAAATAAAAAAAAAAAAGACGAATTAAAAACCAAACATTTGACTATGAGCCATAAAAAATAGATAATAAGATAAACTATCCATTTATCTTCCCAAAACCATATAAATTATTGTCGTAATCGAAAAAATGGATCAGTTGTTCGATTAAATAAAGTGATATCAATTTGACTGTCGAACATAAATCGACCGCATTGTTCTTGTTGAAAAATTTGATTTCCATCAGTCATATAGTGTGCAAAACGATGACGAAGAATAGGATTCATTAACAAAAGATGACGAGTATTAAAAGTCATGTGCCGTGACGAATAAAGTTCTGAAATAAGTGTTATATATGGTCCATCCGAATTTTGACGAAATATACATGCAAGATTATTTATTGTAATATTCAACTGCAAAAAAATCTATGTAGAAAATCATAGCAAATATTAAAATTTCATATATACCTTTGGTATGATTTTGCCATTTTTATTCATGCATAACCATTGGCCAGATATATGATTTTGAATTTGAACACGACTATAAGCACCCACTGATCGAAAGCCGAATATTGCTAAAATTTTTTTAAATTTGATTTTATATATTCAAATAATAAAAGATTTACTTGACGGATCTTGTCGATTTTGAACAACAGTACGATAGGGTTTTAAATTTGAAAATCGAAGATAGAGTGATCCAGGTAAAATATTACAATGAAAAATAATACGATAATAACGTGTGGTTGCTAATTGAGAACCATCTGGTTGTTGATGTAAAAAACTGACCAATGATGGTCGATATCGACGATCTTCAGTACGTCTATATTGAATGTATGAATCTGGATATTTCTGACCAGAGATTGTTAGAAACGAAGAAAAAGATAATATTGGCTAAAGAAGACAAATAAATCCGTTATTTTCAAATGCTACAATATCTTTCATTCGTTCTTTTTTTTTCATTCTATTCCTTTGGCCTTGCATTGATGATATTGTATAACAGAAAAGGCAACAGCAGTACTTATAGTTCAAATTTCTCTTTTTTTCTTTCGCAATTCTTTTCGATCATTCGCAACCATCATTATTAAGATTAAACGGTCATCATTTCGTATATGTATGATGTAATTCTTTCTTACTACATTACAAATGGAAATCATAGAGTAGAATCAAGTGAGCTATGAACATTTGTTACGACTACTAATAAATTCAATAAATGAATAGAATAAGAAAGGAAAAGAAATTTACTACATCGGAACTACTTATTGATGTAATACTCATTGCTATGGATGATCAGCAGTTTCATTCTATCATCATTAACTAACTAAAGAATAATAAAAACATTTAGTGAACGCTATGTTTTTACATGTTTCTTATAATAACAATCTCATCATAGGACATGCATTCCTTTAAAGTGCATAGTTTACTTTGACAACAACACCAACACATATGCGTGGGTTGTACATGCCACCCATATTTGTCCTAGTCATCACATTATACCTGTATTATAGTTAAAGCTAATATTATATATATAAAATAGACAATTCAATGTAAACATCTATCGACTACATACGAAATATAGGTAATAATCCGTTACTGTCAGTATGTATTAGAGCAAAATAAGAAAAAGAAAAAAATAACAAAACATTATCTAATTATGGAACAAGAATGACATATATATCAAAAGTATGAACAAAATAATGATGATGAAGACACAACAGACATATTGCAAGACTTATCATATAGAAATACGAATAACAACCCATCATCATTATTATCATCAAGCCTTGACGCAGCCTGATGTTCTTCATCGTTATACATGCAATTTATGAGAATATAAACATCACCTTCTGACGCACATTCACTCGTACAATAATGAACCACCTCTTTTTTTTTTTCTTTTCAATACTTGTTTTCTTTTAGACTACTTCTATGAAAAGAATAACTGACATGAAACAAATATATAGACCTGTCTACATTATTCATTGATAGTAACTTTCATCAAGCACTAGTTCCAATAGTTATATTCATCTATTTGAATACCATAATAAGTTTTGGAAAGAAATTGTTATAAAGTATATTGTTAAGGAAACAATGATATTCATGATTGCATTTTTTTTTTATATTACGACTATTCCACTTCCTCCTTTAATTTACTTACAACACTTTATGCCTAATGAAATGAAGTCATAATCATCAGAAAAATATACTCTATAAATAAACAACTTTTTAGAGAAATAAATTTGAATTTATTCATAATATATATGTACTGTAGAAGGTCATAAACTGATATGTCAATGTATATCTAATGCCAACTTAAAAAATGCATTAATAATAATCATCAATGGTGATGATAGAAAAAATAAATTTTTATAAATCAAAAGAGATCATAATTTTTTAAAATTCTTTCTTACCCCAGTTAAAAGACTGGCGACTAAAATAAACAGTAGAATTATTCTTGTTGCCATCCATTCGTCAAATTGATTTGAAATGATATTCGAATAATAACCATTAAGCAATCAATATTAAAAGAAAAACAGATAACATAAACATTATTCATTAAAATAAATCTACCTATAAATCAGGAATACAATATTAAAATTTTAATTGAAATTAAATGAGAAAATAGTCATTGATGAATGACTATCTCATCTCATACCTACAGAGAATGAAAAGAAAGGATTTACGATCGTCTTATTCTATTTATGAAAAAATAATCATACAAAGAAAAAATAGGAGAGTCGAACAAGAAAATTACATATATTCTTTCCCTGCATCATCGTTCTTTTCTTTTCGTGTACACACGCTCTCGTTCTCTCTTTCTCTTTCTACAATGTTTTGTCGAATACATATGAAAAAGAACAAGAAAAAAAAATGATATACTGTCTTTCTTGTTCAATTGATTTTTGTTCGTAGTAACATCCAATTTATTATTGTTGATGAACACATAAAAACAAAGAAAGTGTTCAATCAATTGATTGTCATAAGTTATTGAAACTGAACAATATACAACACATATGAACATTCATTTTCTCATCATAGTCAAGTGCAAAAACATTAAAACTCTATCGAAAAAAAAAATGACATAATCAGTCGATCAGACAGACATAGTCACTTTCTACTATCGAATTTCTACTAATGTCTTTTATTTATTTGCTCTGTCTATATGCACCTCAAATTTAACAATCATAGTTAGTTAAAATGAGAAGTTCTTCAACCCTGAACATGTCCATCATATTTTGTGATTGATTCTTCAAAAGATAACGTACAAGAATGTTTTCAATTATATAAATACAAGGTTATTATATTTTTCATTTTAATAACTCTATTAAAAAGAAGCAATTGTTAAATTTTGTCAAATCAATACGAATATGCATACATATAAAAAAAAACCATTGATTCATTGATAATTATAGATTATTATACACCTGTACAAATCTAATAATAGACATTTTTCATATTATTTTTCCTTTACAGATCATAACAGTTCCACCAGTAAACTTATGCTTTCGCCATAGAACATAGTATGAATACAAACACATGGCTTACAAGCTTGTAATAATAATAGTTGTCCTATTTCATGCGTGACTTAAATCAATTTATGAAAGAAAAATAATCACAATAATAGCAAGAAAAAAAAAACAGAATGAGGTCAAAGTTAATAAGTATTTTTTTTTTCTCATAATAAAAATGTGAATAAAAACAAAAAAACTTTTAAAATTCAAATAGAATTCTAATACATTTGTTCGTTTAAAGTTAACATCATCAAATATAACTTCTCAAGTTTTTCTGTCAACTTAGAAACCTTACATGAATTGCACTTTAGTTAATTGTGTTAAGAAAAAGAAAAAGAAAAAGAAAAAAAGTCAAAGTCAATGTTTTATACTTTGTTTATGAGTTATATGTATACATTTTCATCATGTACTTTCACAAGAGATCATACAAGTTCAAAGTCATTGCTTTCAGTAGCACACAAACTAAATTTCGTTTTTTTTTGTTTTGTTATTATATACAAAAGAATAATGGTACTTGATAGTGTCGATAAGAATATTGATGATTGACGCATACTTAAATACTAGATATGTAGAATAAATGTGGTAACCTTGAATATATTAGGCATATGGTGTGTAATATCAAATGATAGTCACCTTTGAATTTAGAGAAGGGAAAAGAAATGAATGTATCCATTGTTAAAATAAGAGAGCAAATATAGATGCAAATTTTCAGATTGCATGTTGGATAAATGTTGGCGAATATTGATTGATTTTTTTTTCCCAGATATAAGATTCGTTTAGATTCTATTTAAATAGTATTAAATCTTCCTTTTGTGTTCAAGATGAGAATAATTTGAATTTTATTTCTCATCAATTAACCTATTCATCATTTAACCGTCGGGCTATTGTGCATTGAACGATAAGAAAAAAAAGTTATTATACGACTCTTATGAAACATGATACGATAAAAGTTGTTTATATCACATACTATTTAAAAATTTGTCGGAAGTGAATGATAAATGATGTAAAAGTAATGAATGGCATAAATCCCGAATGTGAATGGAAAGGCAAACTTTTTTTGAATTATAAATAGTTTACTTTTGTAGTACAAAAATGACGCAAAAAAAAACGAAAGAGAAAGAAATTTTAGTTAATTATGTGCAATAACATCATTAAACCAAAGGATTATTTTAATCAGATATTGACAAAGTTCTCCTGTGAAACTGTTTTTAAAGAATTATAACTTGATATATTGATACTAATTAGTTATTAATCGTAATTAACAATCAAGAAGATTAATTTAATACATAGACGATGAACTATATTGCTAAGAATATATTTCTTATTTGTAATAATCAATGATTTTTTTATATATTACTTTTCTTTGTAGCTCGACTTTCTGTCAGAGCTATTATTCATTGTTCTTCATTCATATGGATTTGGTACCAAGAATGGAAGAGAGACCACATACACTTTCCCTTTCGAAAAAATGTTCAACTTTTCTTCAGTTAAAAGTTGTTCTTTTTATTGAAGAACAAGACTAAAGAATGGTTTAAAAAGTTTTGCATCTTCCCGTGTGAAAAATTGTATGCATACTCATGGCGCACGTTTGTTAACACTACTACTAATATACAACGTTACTCATAAGAACTAGCCGTAGCAATTAAGACTTTCAATTCCAGTCATAAACAATTACACAGAATTTTCACTATGCAAATTCAAATTATTTATTCAAAAGAATTCAATTTAATCGAGAAGAAAAATAGTTTCCGAATATTTGTTATTAATAACAATATTTGCAGCGCGATCTGTAATAATAGTTTAACTCATAACTGAGACTGATTCGAGCTCTTTGGTTAGTACAGGCAGCTCAGACATATCCACATAACCAGAGTGCATCGAACATGACTTAATGCTATCAGTTTTAACAGACTTAAGAAATATTCATCCGTTGTGATACAATACATCATGAGAAAGCATTTCAAAAAACCGTCGCTATAATGTGTATTATGCGTGATCAGTATAACAACGATAGTTATCATATGAGTCTCTTCGAAGCTCTCAACAAATTTTTCTTATATTCCCCTTCCTCCGAGTGTTTTTTTTTCTTCACCATATTTATGTTCATTAGTAAAAATCATTATAAAAATCTTAAAAGAATTGAATCAAATCAAATAATCAATAACATAATCTTTCATATATTAAATTCAAATGTAAGATATATATAGTAAATTTATGTTCTCATTTGTTCTTTTTGGTTGATTTTGTTTTTGAAATTAACATTTCATCATCAGAAGGTAACAAATTTAATTATAAAAAATTCTGAATATAGTATTATTGGATGTTTTTTTTATAAAACACTCATAGATAAACATTCTCGTTTATTTTTTAGATTAAAAAAAATGAAACACTCTAGTCTTTATATTAAAAATAAAAATTTCACACACAGAAATCAAAGGTTTATTGATTGATGTTAAACAGTTGGGCATTAAAAAAAAAAGAAACGCCACTTAATAAATGAAAGAATATTGATAAAGCCTTAAACTTTTCAAATCACACATAAAATAAAATAATAAGACACACTAACTAAGTTTTTAAAGACCAACGATATGCATCGCACTTCCAATTTTATCGACGATATACTAAAACATAATCAAAATAAAGCAAGTATAAAAATAACTAAACAAAATTAATTTTACTTTAGCATCAGATAGAGTTTTAAATTTAACTAATTTTCCAAATGATTGATGCGATCTTATAGTTCCAGTTGTTTTTGCTTCCTAAAAAGAATTTAAAAATACTCGGGTAAATTTTGTCTTAGATCTTATTGGGCTTGTGAATCAACTAGCGAAAATAAATAATATGATTAGTCTCACATAATATATGTCCTCTACAACAGATGATAATATTTTCTTCTTTGCTCTTAATAATACAGATGACTTAATTTTACTCTAGATATTTTTGTTGTTTTTTATTTGATACTATTTATTTTCCTTTTGATGTTTATGTTCTCTCCTTACTTACTTTGGTTAAAATTTGAATTTGATTTGTATTTATTTTTATAATTGGTTCATCTTTTAACTCTTCATATGGTATTTCCCAATCAGCTTCATATAAACCAAGAAATGATACTTCAGTAACAAATAATAATCGTCTAAAATAAAATTCTTTTTTAAATAGTAAACAAATTTTATTATTTTACTTAGATGTTGCCATTAACCAAGACAGCGGACTGTCTGAACAAGTAATATGAGCAACATATGTATCCGATTTGGCATAAGTTCCATCTTCTAATCGCTAAAATTCCATTGAAAAAAAAAACAGTAGAATTTGAAAATATCATGAGTAAAATTAATATTACATTTAAAATATAAAATCCTGTAGCTTCATGAGCAACATAAGGTCGAACAATACCGTCACGACCAACATGACGTGGATAACGAATACGGCGAACAACTTCTTCTTGTTGAGCAGTTCTAGAAGAAATGCAAGTTTAAATATTTTATTAATATACATTTTCTATATTCTTCTGTAAAAATATGAACGAAAGACTTTCTCCGATCATTAAAAGAAAAATACATTCATGACGATCAGTAGTGTAGTATTTTTCTTTTTCTCATTAAGTTTAAGTTTTCTAAGTCATAATATAAAATTGACTTCAAACAGTAATTCATACATACTAGCTAAAGCTTTTTCAATAAAACAGGACAAAACGTCCGATTTTATGTCGAATAAGTTTAATCAATTCAAGTTATAGTTGATATCATACAGAACAGAAATTTTCAGCACGTAGTTCTATCTGTGGACAAAATTTTAGATTGAAATATCATCATTCGACATTTTTATAGTCATTGTACTATAGACTGAAGTCTGAGTAAAACAACTGTAACTCTTTAGAGACCGCCTAAGAATCATTATCCTTTCGAGCTTTTCAATAATTCATTTGCATCGATCTCATGCATAAAGTTTGCACTCAAAGGTGATTTTCAAGTTGTAAAGATTTCCTTGTAAGACTTAATGATTTATAATATATATATTAGAACTTATTTTTGAAAAACAATCTCTGAATTGATATCTCTAGTTGGCGACTCGAATTGAATTTCATTTTTTAATTATTCACAAATATAGACATGATTTTAGAAGCAACAATTTGTGTTAAATGATAATCAAACATCACATTTACGTCTATTTTAGTCTTAATAGAACACAGATAAAAGTATCTATTGACAACAGGAAAGATAATATATGTTTTAACTTAACTAATCATTCCTATGTGTAAGACTATTTGTGAACCATAAAATATGTCTATAAGCAAAACTATCTTACCTTTTGATTAAATCAAGTGATGTGCTAGCAAAATCTACAACTCCACCTGTTGGTCGTGCGACAAGACCAACAACACCTTGTCCTAAACCTTTGAAAAAGCCTGTTGCTCCACCATGTTTTGCTCCTCGTATTGGTTTTGTTACAACACCCTTTACACCATCAACAAAACCCTATTTCAAAAAAAAGAAAAAGAAAAAGAAATCTCAAATTGAGACATAGAAAAAGTATCAACAAACCATAACAACATTCTTTCCTCCTATAGCAATATGTGTCGTAGCAGTCGTTCCAGGTTCTTTACGTCGAACACGTGAACTTTTATAATCTTCATCAAATGTTAAACTTGCTAAACCTTTTCCAACTACACTAGTTATTTTTGAAGCAGCACCAGCAGCACCACCAACAGCTGAACCAAATAATGCTTTAAAACCGGTTGCTACACCTTCAGCAAATTCTAATGGACCTTCAATTGCACCCTTAAAAATAAAATACAAACATGATTATGTATTTTCATTTTTGTATTATTTTTTTTTTTTTAGTTTTACTTTATATGGTTCATAAAAGAATGATTCAACACCTTCCGCAAGACCACGAATAACACCAAGCGGATTTCCAAGTACATCAAGTCCAAGTACTAATACATGAAGTTGTTTCATAAATTGATTTTGATAATGAGATGAAACTTCATTTGTTATTTTTGTTGTTGTAAATTTTTCATGATTTCGTTCATAATAACCCAAACTAAAAATTAAAACAATTAAAATCGAATATAATTAACAAAACAAAAATTTCCTACCGTAAAATAACATCTTGTACTTCAGCAACATTTAATGTTTGTAAAAGAAATCCAACTAATGGATATTCAGCTAATAATTCCTCACTTGGATTTGAGCCATGCATTGAAAAACTAACATGAATCTAAATATAAAGTTTTTACTTAGGAAAAACAAAAACCAGACTAAAATAAATTTATTTTTAATACTTTAAGTGGTGATAAATGAATATTGTCAAAAACCATTTCTGTTTCACCCGCTGGGCTTTCAATTTGTGCTTTAATAATAGCATTAAGTGGTTTTTGAATTTGTTCTAAATCAGTACTCATATTGATTGTTGGTGCTGCGATAATCTATTGAAATAAATACAAAAACAGCAGAATCGATAAAGAAAAATAAAGAAAAAAAAAACAAACATTTTCTGGTTTTAAAAAGTTAAGAATGGCAACAATTAAACCCTGATCAATTTGAACGGCAAATTCTTGAATAAGCATTTTAAAATATTTAAATTGCATTATATTTGATTGTGCTGTTTTAGATTGATAAACACTTAATTCAATAAATGGTTTTTCAACATAATCGGATCCTGTTCCTTTTGAAATACTTGGATGAAGCATAACAGGAAATATTGTGTAATCAAGTTGATTATCAATTTGTACACGATTAAGACGTATATGTATTGTAGAATCTGATATTGACCATGCATATTCAATCCATAGACCATCTAATGCTTGTCGTTTAGCATGTTTTCGATGTGTTTTAGAATGAACTAACTCTGCTGTTTCACCATGAAATGAAATTTCCTTCAAAAAAAAAAAAGTTTTTTTTCTTTTCATTTGCAAGAACAATAGAACAAAATGATTATACTCGAAATCCTTCCATTTGATATTTTTTCTTTTGAAGTTCTTTATTGTCGGGATTCATTTCACATTGTTCAAGATGAGTTGTATATAGTTCTTCTAAATATGTATTTATACTACGTGATAATGGTTTACAGCGATTCTTTTTTATTTCAGTCCAGACAACTTTTGATTTATTTAAACTTATATAAAGCATTTCTTCTCGTGTTACATCGTTAACAATAGAAATGCCAATATCATGTATACCAATTTGTATACGTTGATCCATAGATTCAGCTACTGATAATGTCTATATGGATAATAATTGATTTATATATTTTTTTTTCTTAAATAAAGATGAAATTCCTACTTTTGAAGCTGATTCTACTATTTTCTCATCATCAGAAAAGAGTAAAACTGTTTGAATACCATCAATAAATACAGCATAAGTTACATTATGTTGACCATCTTTACCGAATGTAGCACGTTGAGGCTATTAAAAAAAAAATTTCAATTTATAAAGTTTTAGTGCTGAGAAATTTTTAACATGAGAACAGACTTATCTCAATCGAATTAACAATGATTCATTAAGACAAAGAGAAAATAACATGATTAAAACGTCTTGAAGTATATTGTAACACCATTGGTAGTATTAGATAATCCTTTGGAGAAGTTAATAGACCTGTTTCATGTTGACTTAAAGTCACGGGATACTACTATACGAGAAATATTCAAGCCAAGAGAAAATGTTTTCAAATGTATCAATATTATACATGAACTATATCATTCTATATCGAAGTCTTATTTTGTTCGGATCAATAATTTGAACAGTTTTCTCGATATAAAAAGTAGTGTACATGTTTTTATATTTGAAATATTTATTAGAGAGTTGCAAGATAGCTTGATTCAATGATCTGAGTATGAGTTGTAAGCATTTTTGTTCTACATCATTATCTTTGTTTCATGCAAATTTGATAACTATGTACCAAAAATGTACTTTCTGTTGACTGATAATACGTGGATGCTCGGATATATATTAGAGATGTCCATCGCAGCTGAAAATCTGCTACAGTCCTAGAAGAGTCAAAACTACTGCACTGCTGCTATGATGACATTGCTAAAAAGTCTCCCACATCGGTGATGCCGTCGCAGTAGCAGCACCGCCCTGGACATTTCTACTGTATATATGAAAGAAGAAAAGCAAATGAATTTGATCGGACGTAACAAACAATACTTTTTTTTTACGTTTAACGAAGAACATAAAATCAAGCTAGATGGTACCTGGGTCGTACTCGACTGCAAAATGCCGTATCAAACTTCAAATGTTGACTATCAAGAAATCGATATCTCATGAAAAAAACGAATACTCGTATCTACAATTGATTACTCAACAGTATACCGTCCGAAGTATTTACAATTCATAGCAACAAGTTTCTTTCGTGTTGCTCTAACTGGAAACTCGATTTATCTAAAATTCGTTCCATCAAATAATCGAGGTATGAAAAATATGGTAAAGCATACTTATCAAAATTCGTCACTATGAGAACCCTATCAACGCTTGTCGATATGTTTCTATGGAAAGGCTTTCAATTGATTGTGTAATTATTCTTGTGATTCATTATCTATTATCGGCTGACTTCATAATTGCAACTCATAACATCAGTTGTCTAAGAAGAAGTGGCGACTAACTTTATATATTGTTTTTAATTTAATTATCTCGATAAACAAAGAACCCAATTCTCAACTCAAAAATAGCATTTTGATAGAGCTTACTGCATTCGAAATACCGTAGAATATTTTACTATTAACTTAAGCTCCGATCCCAATAAAAATTTTTCTCGTGGCTCCAATCTCAGCAACTTTTTCATACAATCCTGATAAAGTTTTATTTTTTGGTTCAGATCCAGGCTACTGGGCTCGAAACTGATCCCATACATCTCTAGTAATAAATCTTAACATAGAACAAGAAATTATCTGTTATATCATGCAAACAGTTACCGTTGCTAAAACTGAAGTTGAGCAAGATAATCATAAGGATATACGAGTGTGGGTATGAATAAAATGAAAACCTATTGGAAACCACACTCGCATCAATGCCCTATTTCATATATTTTATTGGCCGCCGAAATCACAGTCTTTGTCTTTGTCAGAAAACAAAATTACTTACGATAAGTTCTAATTTTGCTGATTTAGATCCACATGATACTGTTAATTCTCTTGGTAATAATGGATCTATCCACGTATAATAAACAAAATTTAATGGTGGTAAAATTTGTGTTCGTCTATATCAAAAATAAAGAGAATAAAAAAAAAAACTGAATTTTCTTGAAAAAAAAAATCATTTGAACTTACACATCATTAACTTGACACAATGAAACAGGCTCATTTGCTAAGCAATTTACAATAAGTAAAGGCGCATCACCAATTTTATAATCTCCAAAAATAATTTTGACACCATCAAAATCTGTTGCTGTTACTTCAACATAAATCGCTGGCCGTTCTTCGTCATCCATGTGTAAAAGTGTTCGATGTTTTTGATTCATTTTAAATGGACTTGATGTTATTTGATTATGTGTATAACGAACACGCATTAAACTATCTTTTATATTACGTGGCCAAAATGGAATTAACTAAAATTTGTTTTTTTTTTTAATTAAATTAAACTTTAAAAAATTGGTTTATTTACTTGTTCAGGACTAATCGTTTCCCATTTACCTTGTTCTTCATTCGATACAGTTTCCACTATTCCAATTTCAACCTTTCGAAAGGAAGAAAAAAAAAAAAGAATATCAATACTACAGAATCCTGTTCAACATACAGTTGATTTATTAATAATAACCATTGCTGGTGAAAGTGTAACAAGTTTTGTTAAACCAAATGAACTTGTTGCAATATCCACACAAATCTATTTAAAAATTTCTTTATTTATAAAAGTTTTTCTTTGTTTATGGATTTATCTTACCATATATGTTCGATCATTGGGTACTTTACAGCTTGTCAAACCCGTACTTTTAATAACATCGAGAGAAAATTTTTCTGACCATTTTGGTGCTGTATCACCTTGACCAACGCCATAAACACAAATTTGTCCCTGTTGATAAAATTGAAGATTTCATTGTATTTTTGATTGTTTTATTTAATTTTTTTTTTACTTTTTTATTTGCTTCACTGCCAATTTTTTCTGGACAAACTAAATGTGGTCTTTCAATAACATCAATAAATGTTCGATTATTTTCAATCTATTCAAAGAAAAAAAATTATTTAATATAAAAATAAAAATATTTTTTACTTGAAATTCAAGTTTAAGATCTGTACGATTAAGAATCCACAATGGTGAATAAAATAATAAACGATATGATTCATGAAAAGCATCGACACGTAAAATCATTCTCTTTTAAAAATTAAGATAAAAACAAACAAAAAGAAATATTTTAATTCGTTGCTTTTTTTTGTGTAAATAAAATTCTTACTAGTGTTTGCTGAGGATCTGGAGCAGCATCATTACGAAAGATAACGAGATGTTCATTATAATCACCTTTTCCTTCAACTTTTAAATCAATCGGCTCAGATATCCATTTTATATTATCATATGATGGAATCTAAAAATAAACGAACTCATTTTGAATATAAAAAAGATAGAAAAAGATAACTTACAGTAAAAACTAATGAAGAACTTCTACTGCCAGATGTAACTAAATATAATTGACTTGGTGTTAAAGTAAAATGTTCGACATTCTAAATAGAAATATAAGATTATTCATTGCTTTGCGTAAATCTTTCAAGAGAAGAAAGCAATAAAAATTGTATCCATTAAATTTAGTGTCGCGAGTAGAGATATTCAGAAGTAACTTTTTTCACCGATACCCATCATAGTCCAGCTAAAACTGATATAGTTCTGCTAAATCTGATGCTGCCTTGGCTCCGACCACTGTCCCAATGTATCTGCTGTAGTACCAGTCTCAGTTATAATCCCAGTCTATCTGATCTAGTCTCCGTTTCGATCATAAATCTCAGAAAATGTGACCTAGTCCCAGTCTCAGCTACTTTTCTTTCTCGTGGTCTAAGCTCACATCTCAATACTTTCTCTTTCTCATATTTTCGGTTTCAGTTTCACCAACTTCTATTTTCCATGGTCCCAGTCCTGACGAATTTTATTTGTCGTGGTATCATCCCATAACTAAAATTAGTTCTGCATATCTCTTATCACGAGTAATAGAAAATGGCAAGCACAGATGATGGGATTTCTAAAGCTGAATGGATCGATTCGTGGCAAATTCTTGGTGGGATGTTTTGAAATATTTGTTTCTAGAAACGACCGTTTCTAACGACTAGAATGCACAATTTAAATGTCTATCTTTATGATTTCTATATGAAAATGTTCTCTACTAGCACAAGACATGCATATTATTAAAAGGATAAGCACGAGCTCTGTGTTAAAATATAGGATATGAATTATCAAATGACCTGAAATAAGTAATTGATAATTTCTCTTCATTTTAAATTTAGTTATCCAATTAATTAAATAAAATCTTCGACTTACATCAATTGAACATTCAATATCAATTGGTAAAAGATTAGTTAAATGAAGTGCTGAATGAATATAAAGATTAAGACTTGTTACAGAAAGTTGATCAGTATTTTCTGAATAAGCATCAGTTAATTCTTTAAAAACCTTCAAATATATAAACATTACAAATTGAAAATTTTCTTCAAGAATTCTTACAATAAAATTGGCTTGATTTCCATTTTTTAATTTTAGAATTCTTTCTGTTGAAAATTCTTTATCCCAATCAAATGAAAAAAAATCGTTTACTTCTTCACCTCTATAAGAAATAAATATCTTATTTTTTTTCTAATATTTTCAATTTAAAAATAAATTTACTCGTCAACTGCAACAAATATCGGTGAACTTGCATATGCATAAAGTAAATCCATTGGCACATGATAATCTTGATTAAGTTCTATTCTTGCTATTCGATTATATTTTTTTGGATCAGTTGAGTCAACATTTAAAATAAGTAATGGTAATGTTGTATTATTATAAATTCGAACAATTGAACAAAGAACAATACGTCGACGTTCATTTTTTATTTGAGCATCACAAAGCATTTGAATAGGCCAATTTGAATTTAATGATGGTCCTAATTCATAAACATGTTTTCCTGTTCGACTTATACTAACAGTTTTAACAACATCTCCAATCTAAAAATTAGGTTTTTATTCATAGACAAATAAATAGAAACCTATGATACGAAAGTCTTGACACGAAATATTCACTTAAAAACAGTTTATTAAAACAGAAAAGAATTAGTTAGAATCAGACTTGTTTAGTCTTTCAATATATTTAGTCAAAATTTCCTTGCAATAAAATTGAACAACTATCATCAACTTGTTTCAAGAGATCTAAATTAATAATTGTATAGAATACTATTTTGGTCAATTTTGTATTTCGATTGAAACTTGGCAAATTCAAAATACGAAATAGTTTTTAATGGCTCACAAGGAAATCTGCTCAGGTGTTAAATTGCTTTTCGACTAAAACAATGTGTAAGTATATAAGGACTAGTAAGTAATAGAAGAGTCTAGAATAGTTTGGTTTTCCGAATCTTTATTCTTGACATATCAAATACATTGCAAGAAAAAAGTTCTCACTGAGTTTAGTTCATTCGACTAGTTGTAACTTTTTCAGGATCTTCTATCTTGAGATATTCAATATTCGAAAATCTCTAATATATGTAAAAGCAAATTTTGTTCGTATATTTACATCTCCAGAAAGGAAATTTTAGTTGGATAATCAACTAATTTCATGAAGAACTTTATTTGCACAAAGTTTGAAGACGAAATTCGAAAGTGAGTTTTTCCATCTAAGAATTCAATAACATTTCAAGATCTTAAGAACGAAGATCCGTAAAAATGAAACCATTCTAGACTTTTCTGTTATTTACTAGTAACCGTCAGATGAACATCGTCTCGATCGAAAAGCGATTCGATATCTGACGAGGTCTCCTCGTCAGTTTTATAGAGCAAAATTCACATAACAGACTGAAAAACTTTTATATATTTAATCGCTTTAGGACAATAGATGCATATATACATACGATTTCGAATCCACTTCTAATTAAATTTTGTATACTTCTTATGATGCTGGTATGATCTGTGGTTGCACGCAAATTATCAATTCCTTACACTGCCATTCGTATTGTGAGGGTATGGATATGCCTGACGAGAAGACTTGCACTCATCGACGCCCTGAGGGTTGTCGTCATACTGTAAAATACCTTTAGATATTTTTTAATATCGATTTGAATAAGTATATCTCATCAGAGTTTCAACAATTGCCTTTCTTTTTGTCAAAAGTGAACCCATTTTCAAGAGGTTAAACACAGTGTTTGAAACAGCGAGCTGTTGAACAATGTCAATTTTTATATAAACTAGATTTTTGATTCAAACACATAGATAAGAATTTCACTAGTTATAATATCTCATTTTGTATAGAATTGAGTTGATGCTCTTTCAAGAGAAAAATTCAGAAGTACACCAGAACGATCTTTTTGCTGTGATTAGACATAGTTTTGAACTCTTTTTTTAAATAATTGACTGATAGTTGTTCAATCTTAGTTCAGAAGGAAAATCTAAACATATCTTCAAACATAATGAAAACCTCTGTTTCTAACTAACTCTAATACCTTGTCTTTTAGCGCTCAAAAAATGAGCAAATATTTCGTGCCAAAACTTTTGCATTATAGATTATTTTAATTTTTTACCTTAACAGAAAATTCTTGTCGTTGTTTAAAACTTTGTTCATCAATTACTGAAAGTCTTCCAGTTGTTTGACGTTCATTAAAAACATTTAATGGAATAGATTCATGTGATTGAAGAGTAATTGATTGTAATGATGAATCAGTAGCAAACTTTAAAAGAAAATATTTAATTAGATAAATAAATAAATAAAATGTTTTAAACATACTTGAAGACCATCTAAATTATTAATAAATAATTCTCGTCCTGTTTCATTACATAAAGATAACATTGGTTGATCATCATCATCACTTGGTGGTAATCGTTTATTATAAACATCATTAAATAAAGCTGATAAACGTTGAACAAGATTAAGACCAGTTTTTGTTATTGTTATATTAAGTAATTGATCAGCACGTACAAGTATTAGTTGTTTAGATTTTGACGATGAAACATCTTCTTTTTGTTCTTTTGCACCTGTTACTGATGGTTCTGCTTTATCCAACAATGGAAGAGCCTTTAAATTAGAAAAAATAAACATTTTATTTTATCGTTCGAATTAAATGTTCAATTTATTAGTCGAGTTTTATTAGAAATAAAATTATCACCAATTATACTAGCAACATACGTTACAGATAGTTTTCCTATAATATTTTTCATCAACATCTTGCTGAAATAAAGAATAGATTCAAAGTCAAGTTGTTTAGGATATTTATATTTGATTTTTATTAAACTTCATGTTTCTATAAACAACTTTATGCTGTATTCTATAGAATGAAAACAAATAAAGGTTTTTTTTTTCGATGTTGACTTATAATAGTTAGTTTCAATTTTTTTAACATATGTTTAATTGTACCTTGTAGTCTATAAGAGGGACAATTCTTTAAAAAAAAGGCATTTAATAGGAATCTTGAACTGTGACATGATCGGCTCTCGTTCTGAAATAGACCGAATCGGCTTGATCTGAGATATAAATCATTATTAGAAAAAAAACCGGAAAATTTTGAATGCATAGATGGATATGAATAAAAAAGACATTAGAAAAAAAAAATTTTCCCGAATCATATGCTTACGGGTACGATTGAGCATGTAATACACCATGGCGAAAGGCCTGCACCTTCAGAAACAATTGTTGGTTCAATAAGTGGTTCCCAACTCAACCTATTTTCATTGTATAACGCTGCTTCAACGTTTACTGTTGATGCAAGACTCATCTAAATGAATAAAAAAGATGAAATGTGAATAAATTCAAATAGAAAATTTTTTACATTTGATGACCAATTTTGAACATCAGCAGTTAAATTTGATAAACACATAGCTACAACAGATTTTGTTGCTGAACCTAATCCAACTTCAAGTTTAACTTCGATTGTTTCCAATGTTAAAATTAACTGAAAAATACGAATTCCATATTTAATTTTAAAAAATATCATTTTTTTTTTTTTTTTGTTTTTTAATTTTATTACTTGTTGTGCTAATGGTTTTTGTATTTCTTCTTGTGCTTTAATAGCTGTCTGTTGTGATGAAGTACCTTGAGCTGTTTCTGATGCATTAGTTTGTTCAGTTTTCTTCTCATTATCTATTTAATAAAAAAATATTAATTAAATTCTATGAAAATATTTAATAAAACCTTTTGTAAACCAAAAATTTCCATCTTTTATAGGTTTTGGATTAAATAATGATTTTGAATTAAGTTTTTCTGCTTCATCTTTCGCAACTGCCTAAAAATAAATGATGATACAAATAAATTTTATATTTTACTTGTTTTGTTTCTTTATTTCTAACCTGTAACGTTCCTAATGAACTTGTAACACCAATAACAGTTCGAATAGCAGCTGGTGCAATACTAACAATAATATCCGATATTCGCACATCCATCTTTTGTTGTTCATTATTCATTGTTAAATATACATCAGCTTTAGCTGGTTGTAAAATCTTAACAAACAAATTCAATTATTAAATTAATAGATTATTTTATGAAACACGATCTAATAGAAGTGTTAAAGTATATAGGATAGAAATTTGCATCCTTATAGACCATGACAAGTGTTGTTGATACATGATCACAGATCGTATATCAACAATTTCTTATTATAACATGTGAGCTACCTTCTTATTTCAAGTCTAGAAGATTCACTGAAAGGATAATGAAAAAATGTGCCTGAAAATAGCAGAGGCACCATTCATTTTTTATATTTATTTTGGTGACGTTTATAGATAGACAATCATACGACAGCCTTAGATCTAACGTTAAACGTAATCACAAGAATTGAACAGTACTGAAATTTTCTAATATTTATCTACTTCTAGCATACAATAACTCGTATGAGAAATTTTGTTCAGTATAGCTCAAGTTTTTCAGGAACTATTTATCTGTCGTCTAGCAATCGATCAGTGGCTACGTCTAAAAGTCTTTAAGGATCAATTATTCCATCATATATCGATATTTAGAAGGATTGACCTTTCTTATGAAAGTTTGTGATAACTATCATTTTGAATCAATACTTTGATGAAAAATAACTAGAGTAAAATATTTCAACGTAAAATCTCAAGCAATTTACAAGGAAGTCGATGAAAAAGAAGATGAAACACTTATGATAAAAGTTCAAATATACAGGGTGTCCCATAAGTAACAAGACAAGGAAAAAAAGTTTGAATATCTCCATTAGGGCTCGACCAAATGGGCTCAATTTTTTTATCAAGGATAGAGGCATCTGCACACTCCAAATCCATACGAACAAGGTGAATGAGAACCTTTGTTAAGTATCGCTAGTGACCTCAACAATAAAATTTTTGCTTTGTCACTGGTAAGAAAAAACCAATATACAGGATAGTGCAAAAGTCACTTTATCGAAAAGAAAATTAAATATTTCCATTACGGCTCGAGCAACCGAGCTGATTTTTTTACCAAAAATAGAGGCATGCTTATACTTCAAATCCATACAGACAAGCTTAGTGAGGACCTTTGTTAAGTATATTTTTTTATTTTCTGTCTGTGAAAAAGTAAAAATTTTATTGTTGAGGTCAATAGTGATACTTAACAAAGGTTCTCATTCACCTTGTTCGTATGGATTTGGAGTGTGCAGATGCCTCTATCCTTGATAAAAAATTGAGCCCATTTGGTCGAGCCCTAATGGAGATTTTCAAACTTTTTTTCCTTGTCTTGTTACTTATGGGACACCCTGTATACCCACTGAAAATGAATATTTTCACTAAATATAGAGTTTGTCATTCAACATTAAGATGTTCCTTTCTGTGTTATAATGTTTTTGATAAATATCCATTACTGCGCATAAAATAAAGTTTCTATTACATATCTAGTCCGTTCGAAGCAAAATAACAAAGTATCTCAAATTATTTAGGAAACATTCTCTAGAATTCCATACATATGGAAGAAGATCAATATTCTTCGATTCTGTCTCGCCAACTTTTAAGATTAATTTTAATATTCAAGTACAATTTTTACACAACATTGAACAACGGATCGTTTGAACTCGAGTGTAAGTTTCCATCTACAGACGTGAGTAAGATAAAAAGAAAATATGAATGGTACTTTTGTTTGTAGTACAATTTTTGAATAGAATCAAATAATCTCTCCGTAGCTAACAATAGCAATTACAATATGTTTCAAATTTTCATTTTCACACAAGTTTCACTGTAACAATTTTTGTTAACTTACACGATACTTTATTTTTGATCCAGAATTATTTGAGTCTTTTAATTCAGCAAAATTTGAACTATAAACTGTTAAATTTTTTAACCAGCCATATAATTGTGTATTAGTACCAATAGAAATCATACGTAATTGTAAAGCTAACTAAAAAATTTTGATTTTTTTTTCTTTATAAAATGGTTATTTAAGAAATTCTATGAAACTTACATCAAGTACAAGACAATTTGAATTTGAATTATGTTGATCTTCAAGCAAAATAATTTCAGGATTTTTTACACTAACATCTATTCGAGTTTCAACTTCTGTATCGGCATCTTGAGCAGTTGTAGTTTGAGTAGTCGTAGCTAAAAGGAAAATATTTAGTTTTAGTTTTTAGTATAAATATATTGGTTGAAAAAAAAAAATATCCAATACGTTTTGATGGTGCTACAGTTGTTTTTGAAGTAACAGGTGTTGGTTTCTTATCTATTTTTGTTCGATTTGGATCATTTTCTAATTGTTCACTTGTTGTTATTGCTTTCTGTTCACCCGGTTTTGGTGTTTCAGCATTACCCGATGGTAAACCAGAAACAAAAAAATCTTGTAATATCATTAAATAATCCAAACTTATAGAAATATAAAGACTTTCAAGCTGTGCAGTTACTAATAATAAAGAATTAATTTAAAATATTTTAATTCAAAATTTTTATTTTACATTGTCGAAGTGCAGTTGGACGTGATTGATTTTTTGGTTTAAATTCAAATGATGCAACAAGCATATGAGCATTAGGATCAACTGTAAAATGTCTATCCATCATACGTGTCACACTCGATGATTTATTTGTTGCACGTAAATCATCAAGTAAGAAATTTTTCACACGTGCTGTTGCTTTATAACTTCCATCTGATTGTTGACGAAATAATGCTTCAAAAGCGTCGATTTGAACATTGGCTAATTTTAAATTATCATTGCGTGGTCCACGACGAACACTCTAATAAAATATGTAATATGAAAATGAAAGTTATTTTGTAAGAAGAATGTCATGTTCAATTCTAGAGTAAAAAATTGTCTTTGGAATATAGACAGTAAAGTGAAACAATCAATAACACAAGTTGAAATACGTAGTATGTCGGCGGGTATCTAAATCGTTTTAATTCATACTGTGTTTCAGTCTTTTTTATATTGATGAAGAAGAAAATCTAGACATAAGATTATTGAATAAATCTATTATAAGTATCTATGCATGGATTACCATCTACAGTGACTCTCAAAATGATTCGATCACGTTTACCTTCAATATTTTCTTTTTCACCGGTTTAAATTCTAATACGAACTCAAATAGTAATCTGTGTATAACATTTTATTTCTAACAAGAACTTTCGATGATGAGAATATTTGCAAGACGGACGATGCGAATGAATGATAAAATAATTTAGTTTTTATTAATCTGTATCAGTAGTTGCGGTAGGATCTACCAAGGGATATATGTGTGAGAGCGGATGGAAGTGGGAATACATCTACAACCTTGTTATAGTGTAAAATACCTGTACATCTTCGTAGTTTCTTTAAATAAGTCTCATCTATATCATATAAAAAAATGTGCATTATTTTTTAATTCATATGTATCATGAGTTCTACATACAAGAAATGACTTATAACACTTAATATAACTTGGAAGCCTTTAAAAAAAAGTTTTTTTTTTCTCTAAATAAAACTAACCAAGTCTGATTCTCCAAGATAAAGTGACAATGCCAACTTTTTGATTTCAGCTCGAAGTTTAAGTGTTGGTAATACTTCAGTACTACTAGATTCTAAAGAAAACATCATAATTCAATCATTTATTTTTCACAAATAAAAAAAAATTCATTTAACAAACCTTTTTGTTTCTTAATAACAGCAGCTCTTAATTTTTCTTCTTCTTTTTCTTGTTCCTCTTGTCTATAATGATATTGTTCACTTTGAAAACCTTCAGGTATTTGGTCACGAATATTTTCTGAAAAATTTTCCATTAAAACTCGCATAACACATGAATAATCATCTTTTGCTAATTGAAACTATTCAAACAAAAACAAAGAATATTAATAAATAAGAAAATAAAAAAAAAGAAAAGTTATATCTCAAAACTTACATGAACTAATTCCCAATCAACTTTAATTGAAACTCCGGGTTCAGTTTTAACTTTATCTGGATACAGTAAACGATTGATTAATGTATTTAATTCAGCACATTGAAGTAAAATAGCTTCACCAAGTATATTACAATCTTGATCAAGTTTAACACGACTAGCAAGCATATTTTCGAAACGAATATTTTGTTGTTCAACAAGAGATTTTTTTGGATCATCATAAAAATTTGTTTTTAATATTAATTTACCTAAATCAAGAAAAAGTGCTTGATCAGAATATGAATTTGTTGGAATAATAATATTTGGTGCATTAAATGTTATATCAAGATGAACTTTAAATGCTTGTTCTTGTAGTTTTTGTACTTGTTCATAAGCAGCATCAGCTTGTGTCGATGCTATATTAAGGGCTGCTTTAGTTATGTTTAATGAATCAAGAAAACCCTTTTGAAACAAAAACAAAACAAATATTTAAAAAAAAAATTTTTTTTACTATGAATTATTTACCAAAAGTGCATCGATATGTTTAAAAAGAAAAAGAATAGTTGCTTTAGCAAATTGAACTTTAACATCACAATCAAAAACATCAATAGGTTTTTGATATCCTTCAGGATAATTACATAAAGATAAATCAACACGAAGTAATTCTTTATCATCGCCTTGTTGAGATATAATCTTAATAAATATTTGAAAAAAATAATAAAATAGATAAATATTTGATTTTTTTTTGTTTTATCATACTTTGCGATATCGTGCATCTTTATATGGATCCAAAATACATAAATCAGATAGAATTAAATTGACTAATGTCTTTTCTGGTGCTTGTGATACGTAAGCTTTGATACCTAAATTAAATCAAAATAGAAATTCGAATTATAAAAGAAAGAAAAAAAAAACTTTGTTTTTCAAACCTTGAACTTGAATATCAAATAATTGTGCTTGTTTTGATGCAAGTATTATTCGAAATTCTTCTAAATCAGCATCAATTTTGAGTGAAGGTGCTGCTGGTACATCTAAAAAATAATCATAAAATTGGCATTTGATGGAATTCAATAATTTGAATAATTAATTAATGGTTCATAAAACTTAGATTGATTTAAATCGCTTGAACGATGAAAATAATCACTTATAGATCAACATGGGCAAGCGTTACGGAATTTCATTGCTTTACATTGTAAAATCTATTGCTCGTCAATGATATAAGCAAAAATCTTTGAAATTTTTGTTATAGATACAGACGATTGAGATCTATTTTCAACAAAAATTTCATTGATTTTCCTTTAACACGAGTTAAGCTATTCAGAAAATACTAGACATTGTGGAATGTTTTTAGTGTAGCTAAGTATTTAGGATATTCCTGGAAACAATCCAACATACAAACCAACTTTCTATAGAATAGTTGCTCAGTTTTTAATTTCAATTGCAAAATTTAGTATCACCAGCCATGAATGGACTTTGGATTAATCAATAATGACTGTTTCTCTCAGATTGTTCATCCAATAGTATGCTGACTACATTGTGCCATACAACTGCTCTTATGATTAGTTAGTATGCAACAACTCTGCATCAGACTAGTAGGAAACTGCGGATCTTTCCAGATTCGAGTTCAGTTCACAAAAATGTAGAGTCAAAGTTTTCTATAAGTCAGTATCGCATAGTATTAATAATTTTTTGTATTAGATTTTTAAAAGCTATATGATTAGCTGTTTTGCAAGGTTGACATTGAAGTACTGCAAATTCAATACAAGCAGCTTTAATTGTTTTCTAAACTCAATCTAAAATGACTGGTTCATTTTTTTTTATATTGAACCAGTAGTAGAAAATGAATTATAAATAAATAAATCTCCATATTGATTGTATAGACCATATTCTTGAATCATCCCGTTTCCTTAAAGGCAACCAAGACTATTTCATACGAGTGAAGATTTTAGTGTCACTGTTGGTTTAACGACTTCCGATGACAAATTTTGTTTATCAATTAAGTGTTCAATTTCTTTGTTTTTATCAAAATAATGCTGATTTCAACGAAGTGAAAACGCTTAATTTCTTAAGCATCGAATAATGCGAGAATGAAAAACAGAAAATGACTGTACGTTGACTTTTTATTTCTGAGATTAGCCAATAAATAGCTAAAATCTTGATCCTTCACTTGTTTATATACACAGAGAATGATAGATATACTTGAGAAAACTTTAGTCTGGGTCTGATCGGGTCTAGTTCCATAAAAAATGTGGGTCCGTAGTTCCCTAAAGGCTAGCCTTTTATTCAAAGATACAGCTGGTATTATTTGTAGGAAAGATATTGGTCTACGGAATCTGCCATTAGGCTATACTCTATACCACAAGATAGCCGAAAAGCAGAAATAGTCTTCCTTCTTCCTTATGAAACTTTCAAGATGTAGAAGGCTACTCGACTTAAACATATTCTAAAATGTTCAGCTTCATTCTGTTGAAGTAATACAAAAATATATAATATGATTCTATCCCGATGAAGCAGGATCCTTACCTTTTTTCTGGACAGCTTTTCCAGTTTTATCAATATTTTTATCTTCAGCATTTTTTTGTTCTTGTTGTTTTTTCATTTCTTCTTCTTGTTTCTTTTTTGCTTGATTTTCTGGTGTATCTTGTGGTAATTGTTTCATTAATGTATCTTGAAATCTTAATATTGATAAAAGTGCTTCTAATTGTAATGTAACAACAAGTTTACTAAAATGAACATGAGCTTTATTTTCAATTCCATTGTAATCTGACGTTAAAAATAATGGATTTTCTGGTGATGTATGAAGAAAATTGACACTAACTAATTTTTGATTTTCATCATTATTAGTATTTTGTTCTAATTGAGCTGATAATAAACGTAATTGTTGATTATCTTTACCAATAAATTGTTGATGATAGACAAGTAAATTAGCTAATGATGCATCAAATTCCATATCAAATGTTTTTATTTTGGTTTGAGCAACAATCGATTCAAGTGTTAAACGAAGAAATGGTGCATCTTCATTTTTTTCCTTCATACTTTCATCAATATGTATATCAATCTTTTAAAAAGAATAAAGATTATTTAAAATAATTAATGAAAAATAAAGAATTCTTTACTTTATCAAGTGTAAATGTTGCTTCTAATTGTGTTAATTGACCTTCAAATTCTTTTTTTTTCTCAGTTGTATCTTTATTTTGAATTTGTTTATCTTTATTCTCTTCTGCTTCAGCTTTTTCTTTAGTTTTTATAACTGGTGTCATTCCTTCGACTGCTTCTAATGTTTGTTCAGGATTACTCATTGATGATGGTACAAGTGTCGGCTAAAATCAAAGATTTTTTTTTTTCGTGTTTTTTTCGAAATTCAAAAATTGAATGAAACAAACTTCTGGTTCATTCGATTGTGCAGCAACGACCGGATGTTTCGATTCAGGAAATGGAATTGATTGAGCATGATTCATTATTTGAAATAAACGTTTATCGGATAAACGTAAATCTACACTAGGAAGATTTCCAGCAACTTTCCAACTAGAATAAAATAAAGATGCAATTAGACATCTTTTTTTTTTTAAGAAAAACTTACGCAGGTAAAACAGCATCATCACTATAAATACATTTACCAACATCTAAATCAAGTTCCATTGGTTTAATTAAATGTATATTTGTATTTTTTTCTTGACGAGCTTTTTCCCAACTTTCATCTAAATTTTATTTAAAAAAACAATGATTATCTTTATTTTTAATAGATTTTATTTCTATTTTACTTTGATTCGCATAAATTAATTGAATACCTTCAAGTTTTAATTTAAATTGAGTATAAGATCTTTCACGAGCTTCTTCAATATCCTGCCGTAAATCAAATTATAAGCATAAAAGAAAAATTGGATTTGATGAAATTCGATCCGATGTGACATTCTGATAACTTTTCTGCCTAAGTCAGAAGTGCTATATGACTTCCGACCTAGACTTGAGTTCTTCTCAAAATCAGAAATCCTATAAAAATTGGGTACATCCCGTAATGCTTAACGAAATGCATTTTCAATAAAAACATCTTGTCGAGCAGATCGACATAAGGCTGAGCAGTCTATTTTGATCCTATTAGAAATGGTTTAGTCTTTTGAAATAATTAGTACTTGTATGCAACAGATGTCAACATAAAATGAGCAGTACTCAATAGGTCTACGAAGTGATGCTACTCTGATCGATTTTTAACTAATCAATGTTTCTTCATAAATGCTACCGATTTTTTGACGCCAATTTAGTGAACAGATTCTCAGAACTATAGTTAGATCGAAATGTGTGCTGCTGATAAGTACTTTTTGATGGAAATGGATACCCTTAAGCACTATGAAGTGTAGCAAGTATTTATATAAATAAGGTTTTTTTTGTATGAGAGTTAATGAGAGGAGCTTGGACGTAGTCCGACATTCTGACCTTTCAAAAGTCTTCAAGTTCTTACTTTTGCTTCTTTAAGTGAAGTAGCTTGTTCTCCGCTCTCACTCGGTTTTATACCACGTTTTAATGTTAAATGACCGAAATCCATACAAATCGCTGAAACACCACTAGCAGACAAAGTAATTCGATGGATTAAAGGAATTTTAAAAAAAAAACATTTTCTTACTCTTGGTAAATCCCCTTTTCTGGTAAAAGAAAATAAGATGATTGAAGATCAATATCAATATCTAAAACTTTGATTTTTTCAATATTATGTTTCATTAATATATAAGAACGATGTTTAACATCTGTATAAGTTGAATAAGCAGCTTGTTTAACACTACAATAAAATTATTATAAAAAGAATTTTTTTTTTTTAATTATAATCTACCCTTGAAGATTACGTTGAGTATCTTGTTCGAAACATTCAGCTAATTTATTAATTGTTGGCTAAAAAAAAAACAATGTCTTTAGATTCTACAGTGAAAATTATATATTTACGGCATTGTATTTAATTTCAAGAGATTGTGAAACAACTTTAACACGATAATCTGATGATTTATCTAATGGATTTGTTTCAAATTCAACTTGTAATAATTTTTGTTGCTTAGATATCGACGATAATCGAGAAACAGGTTGAGCAAGTACAGGACGACTATTATTGGAAAATTCAGATTGTTTTAAATCTGTAGCTATACCAAATACTTGAAATGAACCCAAATCAACAAAGACTCTAAATAAAATAGAATGATATTAACATAAACCTATTCTAATAACATACGCAATAGCTGATGTTGCTGGTCTTCGTTTAAATACTAAACTAGTATCAGGTATAGCTGCTCGAGCAATAATTCGAAATCTAAAAAAAAAAATAATAATAAAATATATCGAAGAAAACATATTCACTTACTGAGCATCATTTTCATTAATTTTCGACCAAACATTAACATCAAGCAACTTTAATTGAATAGCTAAATCTATATCGATATACTAAAAAGAATCAATCAATAAGATGTTGTTGTTATTTGCTATAAACAATAAGAATTTACTTCTTCTGGATAAGTTGATGTAGAAGTATCTTCTCCTTCATAACCAATAGCATCATATAATTTCTTCTTTTCCTCTGGTGACATGACTTGTTCTAAATCAAGTTCTAAAAAAAATAAAGAAAAAGAATTCATCTAAAACTAAATTAATAAAAATGCTTAAGATCAAACCTGGATTATCTGGTGGTTTATTTCCACTCCACCAACTCGATACACCTCCCCACCACGTTTTTGGTTCTTTATCTTTTTTTTTCTTTGCTTCTATTTCAGCACTACGACGAATATATGTTAAATTAAAAACATCAAGTTTTTTTTCTAATTCCTATTATTAAATAAATAAATCTTGCTTTTGAATTAATTCTATTATTTAGTATTTTATTTTTTTACTTGTGCTCGTTGTTTTTGTTCAACTGTTGGTTTTCCAGTTAATTCTTGAAAATGAAGTGAACGATATTCTCTACAACGATCTAAATGTAGTTTAATATTTTCCCATTTGTAACATTCAAATCTTGGTCGAATTTCTTCATTAACAACTGCTTCATATGCAAATTTCCATCTCAAAAATTTAAAAATACAAAAATTAATTTGCTTTCCTTTTGTATGCAATTTGAAAAGATAAATTACCTTTTAACACTTGGTTTTACTATTATACCATTATTAATACGATATTTAATATATTTTGATTGAATAATAAGATAATCTCGAAATTCAAGTAAATCGAGTACATCGGAATACTTGAAAAAAAAACAAATGATAAAAATTGAAAAATATTTGTTTTTTTTTTGTTTTCTAATTGCAATTTACTTGATCATGGTTGATATTTAAACTAATTTCATCTAAATCAACTTTAATATCAAACATTGGTCGTTTAAATTCTTCTTCACGTGGTTTCATTGCTAATACAACTCTTGCTTTGATATTTAGTGGTCGAAGAACTAAATAGTCATAACTATAAATTATATCAAAAAAGAAATTACATGAATAATTTACTATATGCTATATCAGTTGGTGCTTGTTGATTATTAACTGCTATTCTTTGTCTTAGATTTTTCTATATTCGAAGAAGAAAATAAAATATGAAACAAGAAAAAAGAAAGATATTTCACATACAAGAGCTTCATCTCTTGATAATCCAGATCGTGATTGAGCATTGGTATTCCAATAAATTGACAAAGCACTTAAATCACCAAGCTAGACAAAAAAAATTTTATGATATAATATTATATTTTAATACTAATTATATCGAGTTGTACAGAAAAGATAAGACCGATTTGGTTTAAACTTTGATAAACCCAAATAGATTCCATCTTTGATGTACATTTTTGTCTAAAATCTATTGAGTTCTTTCCATATTCTATTTTGAGTTTTTAAATTAATATTCGATTTGCATAAATTCATATATTTCGTGATTATTAGACCTAATATGTGATATTCAATAGAGAAATGACAACATGTTCGCGTTGCAAGTATCAATGTCAAAGTTCGAGCTTTTCTTCCCACAGCACTATATTTGCATAATTTCTATTCTGTTCTACATATTTTAGGCCCTATCATCGGTAGAGTGTTAAATCAACTGCTAATAACTACAATGTGCGATATTAAAGTTTTATTTGAATATCGAAGATAACTTTTCATTTTCCGAGGACTAAATTGAATGAATGTAAATTCCCTTAACATTGCACAAAGATCATGATTTTCGAATATATTCATTGTGTATTGAAACAAAAGATGCAACTGACATTTTTGGCCAATTGTAATGTATCAGTGAATATCAATCAGTTGAAAACCTCAATAATTACTTTGTTCGTATATCGGCTATTAATAAAAAATATGAACTCTGACTAATATTCGTATTTTTAACAAATGATTTTCAATAAATAAAGCAAAAGATATTGGCATGCTAACTGCATTTTCTACGGTTTTCCTTAAAAAAAGGTATAAGCAGTGTAAAAATATGAAAACAAATAAAATGTATTATAGGATTACCGAAAATAATCTCAAATATACATTTTTTCTGTTTTTTTTTTGTGATGATTATAACTTTTCAAGAGAATATCGTAGAAAATATGGTGGCCATTCAGTTTATTCAAGATTTTATGTTCCTGAAAATGATACTAACTATTCCAAACTAATTTTCATACAGTCTTCTCGTATCTAAAATTTCCGTGTTATATTTTTAAGAAATTTAAATTTCATGGTTGATGTATGACATTTCGACATGAAATAGACTGGATAGAGAACTTCATTGGCTATTAAATACACTATCTCGATTCGAATTAAATAGTTGGTATTATAGAACAAAATAAAAAATACGTTAGTTTTAGATTTTTAACCAGTACGTCAGTTTACAAGTATTAGAGAATATTTGTATGTTTTATTAATAGTGTCTTATTTTTATTTCGCACAAATTACTATTCTTCTCAAGACGGAACGTTTTCAACTGTTAAATTCCTTTTGAATTCGGACTTTATGCATAAGATAGACCTTAGTGAGGTAAGAAAAATCTTAAGAGATTAGGACTTCTTAGGCCTTCTGTCCAGTGTTATAGGCATTTTACTGGAACTCTATCCTCGTACATGGTATATAAGAATAATTTGAATGACGGCGTTTCTGTCTGGGATTTTGCCCATAGACAAGTCTATTGATGATTAAAATACTCTGAAAATTTCAGCTCAAAAGAACATATCCTTCCCGAGATATTAAAGTCCCAATAAACAGAAAATCCTAGCATTTGTTGTCCTATATGAGTCATTTTTTGGACTTTAATATCTCGGGAAGAATATGTTCTGTTCTGTTGAGCTGAAATTTTCAGAGTATTCTAATCATCAATAGATCTGTCTGTGGGCGAAATCTCAGATCGAAATACCGCCATTCAAATTGTTCGTATATATCATGTCCTAGGTTAAAATTTCAGTAAAATGCTTATAACTCTGGACAGAAGGTCTAAGAGAATTATAATCTCTTGAGGTTTTTCATACCTCACTAAGGTCTATCTTATACACAAAGTCCAAATTCAAAACGGATTTGACAGTTGAAAACGTTCCCTCGTCAGTTAAAGAAGATTACTTATATTTTACACCATGAATTTCTCTCGTTTTTCATCCAAACATTTCTAATAGTATTTAGTGATTCCAAACTTTCAATGAAATCGAACTCTCAAAACAAATAAAACTACCACTAATAGACTGATAAATACTCATCAAAAATTCTGATCAGTTCTATCTCTAATCGAGAACATTCTTTTCTAGATTAGTTTATTTTCAGACATCGTCTGACATTCCGTTCGAAAATAATTAATCATAAGAAACACATTGTACAAAACATAAATATCAATTGTCTTCGTGGATAAAATCTCACAATGAACATGATAAAAGAAGTTTTTTCATGTTAATATATGAGTTCGTAATTGATTTGATATATCTTTTACCATAACTAAATATATTCTGTATTTGTTTAACAAATGACATGCATGATTTAAACTCTTATTCGTGTTCTATAATATTCGAATATACTTTGCATATTAATCAAAAGACTTGTCAATCAATATTCATTCATATTAAATATTATTCGAAAACTATTAAAATAAAAATACAAGTATAAAACAAATCTTTTACTTTATGAATCAATGGTGTATCTTCTTTAAGTATTGTTGGTTGCCAATCTGGAGTTGTTGTCTAAACGAAAAGCAAAAAAAATTTTCAATCAAATTTATAATGTTTGACAATGCTACGTGTAATGTAATATAATTAAGTGTAAATCCAAAAGCAAATGGATGATTAGGTTTTGTTGATTTATCTTCATAGACAACATGTATATTTCGAATAGATAATTCTAAATTTCGTATAACTTGTAATTGCATACGTTCCATAAATGTATCATTATTTTTATCAGATGATTTAGCATTTTCTTTATTAAAAAAGAAAAAAGTTCAACAATAATGAAAAAAATTTTTTTAGCTTTTACTTTTAGCTTCTTGTTCTTTGCGAAGTTCTTCAATCTGATAAACTTCTTTCATTTTTGCTTCATGTTGTTCTTTTTCATCACGTTTAGCATCATATTCAACTTCTATTATTTGAACAAAATACAAAAGAACCAAATTTACATTAAATACTATGAAAATAACAAACCAGTTTTTGGTACAACTAATAAAAAAAGTCCATCGATTGTTGCTTTTGTTGACTGTGTATATATATTTTTCCATGGAACTTGAAGTGTTAACTTTTCTATAAATAATCGGAAGAACAAAATAAAACAAAAATATTGAAATAAAAAATTAATTTAATCGAACTTACCAAGATAGCCCAAAGATATAGTTACAGGAAGATTTAAATCAGCCTATAATTATAAAACGAAATTGATTTTCTTGTTTATATAACTATAGATAAACATACTAATGCATTTGGTTTTAGATAAAGATTTTCCAAAACCACATTGCCTAATAATAATTAACTACTTAAAAACAAACAACGTTTGTAAATAAAGCTTACCGCTCCATAAATCAACTTTGAGCTTTTTTGTATCTAAATTTTCGATATAATCGCTCAAATATTTGTCAAGTAAATAAGCGACTAAATTTTCAAAAACCATTTTGATATTATTCTTTTAACATAGGGTTTGATAAGTGTGAAAGATAATTCATGTGAAGTATTAAAATTTTATCTTAAATAAATGAAATGCTGTCTATTTATAGAACAAAATGAAGGTTTTGTTTTTTTTTCTTGCCACTCTTGCTCGAAATTATACCGTGTAAGATAACTAACCAATGGATGACTCATTGTAGAGGTATTTCTTTTTTTCTGCGATGAGTAATGTGACCAATAGGAAGATACTATTGTTTTAGAAGATTTTGGAAATACTCAACGATTGGAATGATCTGTTTTGAGAGTATATAACACTTGGAATTTGGAATTGATAAGTTTAGTTAATATTTACAATGCATTTATGCACTTTTGTGTTACGAACTTTGTCCTACAACAGAACGGAAAAAACCTTGATTCATTATTGATTCCAGACTGCCTTGTCTGAAGTGTTTCACCCTAGATACAATTTTCATAAAATTTATGGATATTTCACAGTAAAAATGTCAAAGATTTAATTAAATTTTCAGGATCAAGAAACAATCTGTAATATAGAAGATATCTTTATGATTATGAATATACTAGAGAGCTCAATGTAATAACGAAACATGTAACTAAAACTGTCGACGGATATATCCCAATTGGTTCATTAGTTTTGAAGCTCTATGTTTCAAATATAGGTAGAACCTCTAAAACTAGAATGATGCTGAAAAGACGCGGGCTCATCAGTTTTTTTTTATACAATTACGATAGTTTTGCTGGATTTTTATACTATTAAGATAGAACATTGAACAAAAGATTTTTCATTTCAAAGTTTTTCTACATGTCTGCGTCAGCATTTGAAAAAGTCTCAAAAGTGTGAGTTGAAATAGTTGTTTCTTTGTTAAAGTCCAGCAAAATTATCGTAAAACTTCAGAGAACATCTATGAGCTCAACTTCTTTTAGAATTATTTTAGTCTAGAAACTTTCTCCCTATACAAAACTAAAAAATAGGATCGAAATTGAAAAATCATTATGAGTTGTTCCCTCATTAGCACTATATCGTTAGAGATTCTGAAAAAAACCTATTCAGCAATTTTATTTTTCTCTAATATCATACTGTATATTAAAAACTACAATTCTATTAAATTGTTTTGTTTAGCATATGAAACTATTGCAGGCTTTCTTTCGTTTGATAATGGAGAAATATTTCAAGTATGCATAATCTTAAATGTGAGTCTGTAATCTTACTTCGAGTGTATAATACAAAAAAAAGAACCATCGTTTACATTCTTTAAACGTTTCTTAAATTGAATAGAATAAATGCAAAGACTCTTGCAACGACAATAAATGGAACATTTGTAAATTACATACAGCATTCAGAATTTTCTAAAAACTATTTTATAATTAGTCAGTGGAGATGTAAGAGAGAACATTTAACATAGCTTGTTTTTGTATATTTCATAAATATTACTTTGGCTATCAATAATATAAAATGGAGTTATGAATCTTGTCTGTCATGCAATCACGATTTGTAGGAAAAGGATTGTCTGAATTTTTTTGTATATACATTAACACATTGTTTCAAATCATGATATCTTCAACTTTTCTCACAATATTTTTGACTTACAAGATATAGAAAACAGTTATTTTTATCTGCCAAGTGTGCCAAAATATTGTGGAAAAAATGTCTAGACGTTTTCAAGATACAAAAATTGCCTTTTAAAGAGACTTTACACACTTTTATTATACAAGTAGCTGGTTTTGATGTTTTCTGAATGGACATGAAACTGCTCATACGTAAACAATGATTAGATCGTGTAAACACACTTTCAGAAATTCTTGTCGGCAAAGTTTTTATACCTATGAAAATATTAATAAATAAATAATTTTAATAGGAAATAATTCATAATAAAACCATATATATTTTTTTTATAAAAGTTTCCTCTAAAACAAACTGTATATATTTATCAGAAAAAATGTTCAAACCCAGTTATAAAACAATCAAATCAATATTTGTCGTTCAGTTTGTTGTTCAAGACGAATAGAGAAAACAAACACTGTACAGAAAAAGAAAACAGATGCTCATGTCTTAACATTCATGAAAGCATTTCTGTATTGAAACCAACTGGTCTAACTTTCATTTCACATGTTTTTAGTGAATATTTTGCGCCTAACCAATTATTCCAAAAGACACCTGTTGCTGTTGAATCATTTCCACGTAAATAAAGCCCATTTAAATTGGCTAATGTACATCCTGTATGCCACCAACCACTTTTATAATTTTCTGCACATTGACTTGACGTCGATTGATCATTATCTTGATCACGTGTTGTAAAACGCATACCACGATTATAAGATAATGAATCTCCACCAGTTGATGATGTCATATAACGACCTAAATTTAATGTATATTTTGTTTGTTCATCTGTTATAAAAAACCATTCATAATCAACAAAACGTGATTGATCACTAAAATCTTCCATATCAATATGAAGACGATATTCATTTTGATTTGTTAATGCATAAATTTTTTCATTTCCAAGCCAAAAATCTCTTGTAAGATCACCAAAACCACGCCTATATGATGACCATGTTACAAAAAAGTTTGATTGTTGATTATAATCACCACGACGTTGAATAATTGTCCATCCACCACCATCTGTATCCATATCACATAATACACGAAATGGTTTTGGACTTGTACGAGGCCTTTAAGTACAAAATTTATTTTTTTTTTTAATAATTACTTTTTTTTTCTTTTCATTTTCTTACCATATTTCATAAATTCCACTTGTCCGTTTTCCGGCTAAATAAACTTCACTACAATCAACATATGCATAATCGCGTGCACCTGTTGATCGTGCACATAAACTATCAATTATATCATCTTCAGAACCACCCATTAGTGATGTTGAACTTGTTGTGAGACCACCATTTATAATAGTACTTGGTGAAATAAATGTTGGAGGAGAAGATGATACAACGAAATGATCAGACGATGATGACGTTGTACCGAAAATAGTGGTCCTAGTAGTGGTAGTTGTTGTAGTAGTAGTAGTTGTAGTAGTAGTTTCTAAAAAAATCAAATTCAGATATTCGATACGAACGATATTTTATATACCTGTACTGGTTGTCGTTAATACTAGAGCTGTTTCACATTGATCTTCGCATAAAAATCCCGTTGCAGTACAAGTGCAAACTAGAAGTACAGAGACATTATTTTTTATTCAGTCGTGATCTGAAACAATCAACATTGGCATATTCGAGGTGGGCAAATATGAAGTTTATATGCGCTCGTGCACGTGTCATATATCTTCGTATTACATGATCCCGTATTGCGCTCATGTATTTCCGTGATAATATATGAAGACAGTAAACGAGTGTTATTTTTTGTACGTAAATCACCCTATATCTTTATATACAACACAGACAGATATGTACGTTCGTAATACAGAATGATAAAAATCAATGTAAACGACTATTCTCGTTGCACTTAGAATGACCGCGATTTTTTTTTTAGCAGGGGTGAGATCTTTTTTTTTTAACAAAACACAAGAAAAACTTTTGACTTCGTTTAGAAAAAGCAAAGTTTCATTATGACTTGAACAGAGCGTCATACCCCTTTCCTAGCCCTTCCCCGAATCGTGCCGATCCTGTTTATATTGATTACTAATGATATGTTTTTACCTTTGCAAGGATTTGTTCCTAGACGAAATTTGTTATTAAGTGGAATTTCAACTAGAAAAAATTTCAAATATACATTTTAAACAAAATAATATAATTAAAAAAATTTACATCTTCCATCATCAGTCTTGCATGTAAATTCATCATTTGGTTTTCCATTTGCAATGGAACCAGTGTCTAGATATATTAAAAAAAAATGAATTATGTATTTCCAAATATGTTTCTACATACATATTCCATTTGTATTCAATGCTATGGGTGATGGTAGTGCAATCACCAAGAATATATTAACATAAAATAAGAAAATTATTGAAAATTGGTACATATTTGCTAGTAGAGAAGAATAAATGTATATCGTGTTTGTCAGAAAAGATAAATAATATACTAGATTACAAGAATATTCTATTTAACAGATCGTCGTAAAAGAGAAAAAAATGACACAAAAGGAACTGCTGATTAGTGACGTGTACTTCATGTGAAAGGTCGAGGTCAATATGTGTAAATGTACAAATAATTGAAGCCCAACGACAAAATACTAATTTCCATCAAGAACGAAAATGCCTTGATAATCATCCTAGATAAATGAGAAAATGCCAATTATCTAACTGTCAGTTATGCATTACAAAACAAGAAAACACTTGGTGTTACTATCCAGGGTAAAAAATTACAGTAATTAACAATCTTTCTTTTTACGCACATATTAATAGCGTTAATATGAAAAAAAAAGGATAATGTGTAGGCCGTAAGGAATGGCCATGTTTTGTATTTCATTTTTTCATCATCTAATACGTTTCATTGCAAAACATTATATACCACAAGATGTAGCGTGAAAAGTTCTACAATCAACAATACAAAACTTATTATATATATGCATTTCTGGTTTTCAAAATAGACAATATACTATGTCGGCGAAATTCAATACTACAAAAGTTTTTTTTTCGGTACTCGACGAGTTGCTTTTCATATTTCATCAATTAATGAACAATAGTTTTTAACTTCATTCCATTGACCAAATTTCGTAATTGTTAACCGATTTAAACTGATATAATGTCATCATCAATCATCCATATAAGATTTCATTTCTTTTTATTAACTGACACAATTATACAAATACAATTGATTTCTGTGAAGCTCATATGTTTCTGGAACAAATAACATCAGAGTGAGTAAAAAAAATATCATCGAAACACATTATCAATTAATTTAAGATCGGGTATCGATTATGACCTTGAATATGACTCATCAATCGAAGAAAAAAAGAACAAGAATTCTCTTGTGTACAAAAGAAAACGTAAATTCTTCATAGCATCGAGATTTGGTCATATAGAATTTTATCTATTTCGAAAACTGAACATAAATAAATATAAAACAAGCCTTGTATTGTAGACTGTAGAGCCTTTTACAGTATGTTTTGTGATATATTTTGTTTTTCTAATAAAACTTGTTAGATGATGAAAAAATAAAATACAAAATATGGTCATTCTATATGACACAAACTACTAATTTATTGTTTTAAAAAAAAGAAAAATATCAATTGTCAGCTATTTGAATAACTGCTTTTCCAAAATTTTTTCCTTGAAAAATTCCAACTAATGCTTCCGGAGCTTTTTCTAAACCTTTTGTTACATCTTCTTTTATTTTTAGTTCTCCACTTGCAATCCATTTTGGAACTTTTGAATAAAATTCTTGTTGAAAACTTGGATCTTTTGCTTTATCTAAGATAATAAAACCTTGAAGCTTTAATCGTTTAGCAACAATTTGCATAAGATTTCGTACGCCATGAGAATCAGGTTCATTATATTGTGAAATCATCCCACATTCAACAAATCGTGCATAACTAGCAGCAGCATCAAGTGCTGCTTCAAGTTGATCACCACCAACATTATCAAAATAAATATTCAATGGATCAAATTTAGCAAGTTCAGCTTTTACATTAGCCGTTTTATAATTAAATGCATGATCAAAATGAAGTTCAGTTTGAAGCCATTTTACTTTATCATCTGAACCAGCTGATCCAATGACTTTCAAACCTTCACGTTTAGCTATAAAACCAAAGAAAATATTATTTTTCAATAGAAAATTGATTTATCTACCGAGTTGTCCAACAATTTGACCAACAGCTCCAGATGCACCCGTTATGAAAATTGTTTCACCTTTTTTCGGTTCTCCAATATGATAAAATCCATGATAAGCTGTTTGTCCAGGCATTCCAGCAGCTCCTACCCATGTTGTTAAAGGCAAACCAAGGTGAAGTTCTTCATCACTTAAAATTCGAAGTAAATCTGCTTGAGGTTTTGCATGGACGGTATATTCTTCATAACCTCCAAATCCATAAACATATTGACCAATATTAAACTTTGAATTATCAGTTTTAACAACTTTTCCGACAAAAAAATTTGTTAATGGTTGATTAAGTTCAAATGGAGGTGAATAACTTTTCTTTTCAGCTGACCTCATTCGACCGCGCATATATGGATCAACAGATACGACAAGATTTTTTGTGACAATACCACCTTGTGTATCGACAGTATCAAGATCAATTGTTCGATCTTTAACATATTTAATATGTTTACCAGCTTCCGGATAACCCGAAGGAATTTCTGCAAACACAACAGCAGAATTTTGAATAGGAGCCATTGTTTTATTCAACAGATATTTTACTTAATAGACGTATATGTGACTGTGAGAGGGCAAAAACGTACTCGCTTTATATAGAATAAATGATATGCATCGTCATTATGATTACGCAAAATAGAACGATAAAAAAACGTGTTTTTTTTTATTCTACAGTGTGTTAAAGATAGAAAGCATGATGAATAAAGCACAGAATAGAAAAAAAACTATTTGATTTATGTTGTCAAGTTAAAGAGAGGACGGCAGTTTTACCTAACGAAAAAAATAAACTCGTACTTTATCGTACTTTTCTTTACTTAACCATTCTGAGGTTCGATAAGACGAAGTATGAAATTCTCCGTCAAGGGAGCAATATTCAAAGTGTCTTTACATTTTTGAAAGAAAGAAAAAAGAAATAGAAAGAAAAAAGTACTTATTACATATACTTTTTTTTGATATTTGAAATATCAATTCTTGATAGAACCAAGATCTTCTATCTTATAAATACAAGGAAAAAATTAATGACAATCTCATTGCTAATAATCTCTAGTTATGATAAACCATTTCAATTGTTTTGAAAGAAAAAAAAAACATTAAGAAAAAAACAAAGTAACAAGTAGACATTTCTATTCTGATTTTCTTTTAAAGCAAATGTGCAAACTTGTACGACTGCTATTAACACCGTCCAATCGTTTTCTTGTATCAAACTTAGATTTTCCTATTAAATTTAGCACATGAAAGACCTTTTTATTTGATACAAATTGTCATCTAAAGGGTGTCCTATAATAACTGAGTATAAATTGTCAGCGACATTTGTCATACTTTTTGTTGACATAGAAGATTAACATTTTTATTAGATTTTTATCTAACCAAGCCCTTTATTTTGCAAAGTTTCAGCTCTCTAGCTGAAAGTAATACTTTAAGGCATGCACAAAATTAACATATATGAATTGTCGTACTAGATATTTGTAATATTTTTATAACGTAGTCAATCGCAACTGAGTGGTTAAGGATTGTATTAACGATATAGCAATGCATTTGTATCTAAACACTTTAGATTTTATGGCATATTTCACGCTAAATGTTTAACAATTACAAAAACAGAAAAGATCGTAAATGATTTCTAGTGAATTTAAATTGTCTGAAAACAGCATGGAGAATTGATTGCATAATTCGTAGCAGATTTATTTAATGAATGTATAGAGTTAGTTGATAGCGATGTTAAATTTGTTGATGTATGAAGAAGTGAATATGTGTGCGGTACACTGAGCGAAAAAGTGCGTGGAAAAGTGTTTGATACATCGCTACAATTAGAAAAAAGAAAATGGACAAGAATAAAAGAAATTTTCGAAACAAAAATGATAGACGAAATGCGTCATCAATTATACGTGGTCATAGAAAATAATAGAAAGTATGTTTATACGTATTGAATTTTATTATGATTTATTATTTTCTTTTTGAAAATCTTTTTCTTTGAATTATCTTTCCAGCAAATCTCTATAATTGTCACTGATCAACACATAAACATGCCACAAATATCAGCTACCAAAATTGATGTATTTTAATCTTATTCAAGCATTTCATCACTAGTTTTAATTATAGAGCTGAAACTTTGGAAACTGAATGATCTTGGTTAGATATATATGTGAGAAAAAATTTGCAGATAAAAATGTAATGACTCGGGTACAAAAAAGTGCTACCATAAATAATATCAAATGGTGTAAATTGGCATCATGGCGTCACCATTTTAGATAAGCCTGTGAAAGAGTGAAAGTAGTAGGAGAAAAAATGGTTCATAAAAGAGGATCATATATTACGGCGTAATGCGGTAAAGCTTGAGGCGGTAATAAGTCATTTTCTACGGTGGAAACGTTCGTTCTAAAGATGCTAATTTGTATGGAGTTGAATGAAATAATAGATTTTCATTGCTTAATCAAAGCATCAAATAACAATATCATTCTTATCTATAAACGAATAGGAAACATGAGCAGATTGATTTTGTTTCTATTGCAAATAAACAGTTAGAACAATAATAATATATAAAATGACAAGAAAAACAAAGAATTACAAAAAGCGAGCTGAAGATCAATAAATAATAATCATTACTATTATATTGTGATCTCAAAAACAGTCAACTGAATTCTTTATTTTGTTATTCAAGCAGAAATACAAACAGAACAAATGATAAGAGAAGTCTTGACACTTCTTGAACACGTACTGAAGAACCATGAATACTCTCATCTTCTTCATCTTGAAGATTTTCATGTTTTTCAGGTTGAAAGTTAGTTAAAACTTTACGTGAATACAACTTTTGAGGCTGTCGAAAATTCCATGGCACAGAATTACTAGCAAATACTTCTAATTGGTATGCTGAAATTGGTACAGTCGATGCTAATATTATCCAAGTAATACCTTCTGTACATGGTGGAGTAGTTAATGAACCATGATAACGATAAAAACGATGTGATGAAAGTGTAGGAAACAGAGGAGTTATATCGATTTGCTTTTCAATAGATATGGATATATTTGTAGTTTGTTTTAGAATTGATAATAAGTCATGGATATATGGATTATCATCATGTTGTAATTCGAAAAGTATACCAAGAACAGCTAAAGCACCTGAAAAATGAGCTTGATGTACAAAATGTATTTCTAAAGGATATTTTATTCCATCAATTGTATGTTCAGAACCTTGATAAGCATTGTAACCCCAGTGAAAATGAAATTGAACTAAAGAAAAACTTTCTGGTAAATTAGCGCCACTTATTGAAAAGTTTGCTGATGCTGGTGGATATACAATTATGGTGTGTCCATTATGCGTAAAATTCCATACATATGAAGATGCATTTGTCGTAAAACCATTTAAAGAAAGTGGACTAAGATTTGGATCATATTTAACACGCGATGTTCGAATGTTTATAGGAGATTGAGCTCTACCTTTACATGTATTAAATGTATGTTGCCATGTATCAGGTCCTTCTCGTTGATAATTCCAATGTAATGATGATGAATTCGTAGGCTGGAGAATAGTATAATTCAAAAATGAAAATAGAAGTAAGAATTGTAGAATGAATGGCGAGAACATTGCTTTCTACGGTTATTGAAAATGTGTTATGGTAGTAACATACGAGATAACAATTATCAATAAAATCAATCAGAGAACACATTTCACAATTTAAATACATGTGTTTCTTGTCCAAAACATGCCTCAATAACGTCATTGATTATCATTTGAACTCTTCGATAAAATTGTATTTTGCTAAATATGATTTCCCTTGATTATTTTAAAAGAAAAATATACACATGAGCTTGTTTATCAAAACAATTGCATAAAAAAAAGAACTTCATATCCTTATTCTTAAGTATCTTTCACTTTATTTGATTCATTTTATATCTCATAGGATTTGCACAAAGAAAGTTATGAACTTAATGAAACATTAATATGGTGATTCGTACATCAAAAAGGAAAATTCTGTATTGAGTTTAGACCATTATCGATTATTTTCTACGTTGTGAACTTTTCCTATCACAAATAGAGTTTATTATTTGAATTGTAAAAAGTTGTCTTATCAAGATGCATAATGTATAACAAAAGACTCTTTCTTCTACACAGTAAAGTAATTTGTTAATTACCCAATGAGATAACTAAACGTATAGATGTTAAAGGAAGTGTAATGAGTTTTTATCAATTTCTTTCTTAGTTAGAAACGTGAGACGTAGAAACAGATCCATAAGAGAGCTAAAATGGTAACAACTAATAGTACGATTTGCCTTTACTTGTGTACAATAAGCAGGGGTGTCGCGAGCAACCGAAAATTGAGGGGGTTGTACCTTATAAAATCCTACTTTTCAAAAATTTTGGGGACGAGTAACTAGTGTTACCAGATCTTTCAGATTTTGAAAGTTTTTCTGGATTTCGGGATTTGAATTTCGGATTTTCGAGTTTCACATCTGAGAACACTCGATTTAACTTATAGAATCGTGCTTAAGGTAGTATAAGTTTTATTTTCTGCAATACAATGCAAGACAATTTTTCGAATTTTGGGCCCCACTCAGTTCGCAACACCCCTGTGAATGAGAACTTCAACATTTAAAATTAAGGAGAGTAGATAAGTATAAATGCATAAGATACTATTATAATTTAGAGATTCATAAATAGTTGAGTGTTGCACGATAAATTAATTCATGATATACAACTAAGATTCAAATATTGGGGAGGAGTGACCACCCCTCGTGCCCCGGTCGCGACAGCCTCGGACAATAAGATAAAATTACTAGATAATTGACCTATAATCGGATGAAATACAGTGAGAAAAACTGCGCATTAAGCATAACCTTACATAAAATACGATGCTGAAAGAAAATTTTTACAATTAATGTAAAGCTACTCTAGCAAAATTTATTAAAGACTTTGTAAGAATCCATTTCTACCCTCAGACTTAACCATGATTTAGATTTAAGACGACAATTTCTCTGCGAAAACATTTGCTGCTTGTAGAAGTTTAATATAACAAAGTCGAAATAGAATATTGTCTACAATCGTTTGGAAATTGAAGGGTATCTTTTATATTAAAATGCGATAAATATCTAATGTTTGCTCAATTCTAGTTAAACAAATATGTTTATTTTCTTCACTGGAATTTATCAGTGAAGTATTTAACAGTAAGCATATTAGTTAAATAAATATATTTCTTTTTTTTTATTAAGATTTACTTAAATCGAATATTCAGTAGTAAGTATTTTATTTAAATAAACCTATTCTGTTTTCTTTGTGTGTACGAGTGGTGAAAAGAGAAGAAAAAAAATTGTATTCATCTTCACTGAAGAGAAAATTATGGGAATACGTTGACAAATGACTGCCGTAATGTTTGTCTGGAGCAGCACAGAAATTGAGTCGTATATGAGAAAAAAACGACCAAAATAAAACACTATATCGCGAGAATACGGCCCTAATACCACTCATCGTTACACCCTTGAAGTAGTCTTAAACGCCAAGATCGAGAACTGCGTTTTTCATCACTTGAAAAAGAACATCAGGATGCATGTTTTATACGTTTTCCTAGTATATGGTATGCTATTTGTTTCATCCTTTCATGGTGGCGTGACTCACCGATGGATGACTCTATAAGGCATCCCAAAAGTTCATTTACCACAGAAAAAATTGAATATCTCTGCCATGCTTTGACTAAAGCAGTTGATTCTTTTATCACTGATAGAGGAATGTTTATAGTTCATATTTATAAGAGAAGCGTTGATGAAAATTGTTTTGAATTATTACAGTCGTCACAAGTAAATAAATGGCATCTGTCACAAATTTTGAAAAAGCAGTAATTATGTCGCTGTGAAAAGGTTCATCAGTTTTCTAAGTGTGAAAAAAATGGTTTCTTATAAAAAAAGAAAAACAGTAAAAATATAATTTAAAGAAATCACTCGAAAAATCAGTCAAAACGTCGATTAGGATACTTATTACTTCTTAATGATCGATTCTAAATCTCTGAACCTTGTACAGTTTTATATACCTTCCATCAAAGGCTTCAATATGCGCGTGACAATTGAGAACTCATTGTAAACACCTTACGAGTAGGTTTGTTTTCAAAAAGGTTGATTGAAAGTCCTTTAAAAAAGTCACGTAAGAAAAAAACCTATAGAATACATGATTGGATGCATTATGATCTCCACTTTTGAACGATGAAATCCGCAATTTTCTACTGTGTTTGTATTAAAACTTGTCCAACAAAATATCCACTGAACAGACACTAGTGCTGCCAAACATATAGCATAGTAAAACAAGTGTTAGCGAGAGTTTATTATTATGATATTAGTTGAAGTATAATCAAATAGCATAGAAAAGTAGATGATTCTTTTCTTTATCAGACTGTAAAGAAAGAAAGTTTCTTAAATCTTTTTATAAAGAATTAAAGTACCTCCATCAATGTTTTTTGGTATGATCTAAGTAATATATTTGCGTAGTTGTTTTGAATCGAATTCTATGCAAGATATTTATAGGAAAAGTTTGATGATTGGGAATATTTCTTCTTAGTTTTCACACATATCATTTTGATAAAACATGTTTTTACCAGATTTTTATTCGTATAAAATAAATTCGATGATTAAATATGAAGAAACGAAAGAAAAGTTAGCTTGAATAAAATAAAAAGTCACATTTTTATAAGTTCTTTCAAAACTTAAAACCTCAACAGAGACACATGATGTTATGCGGATCCCATGCTTTGCGGGTGCGTCGAAGTCTAGGCAGATTATTCCCGTACATTTGTTCAAGAGGTGTATCTGCGAGAGCATAATTTGGATAGAGTATCTCTTTTGATTCATCAACATCTTGGCCATCATCAATTGCTGCTTGCAGTAGGGCGTTGGGCATTGACTTAATTCCATCAATAAACACATCATCATCTGATGATAATGTCCAACCGAATTGAATATAGAAAGGAAGAAGTGGTATGGATGAAGCAACATGTGGATAAGCACCATCTTGTGACATAGCGAAATAAGTCGAAACAAATGGTTCGACACTAACTGCAAAGTATGTCCCAGGTTTCGAACCCAATGCTGAGTTATAATATAAGACTTGGTTGTTTGTTGCTAGTAATAAACTGCTGCTTAATCGTGTGACGGAGATGATGCTGAAGCGACTTCTATTAAAACAAAAAATTGTTATCTTTCATTGTTAAATGCAGGTTCATCGAATAAACACTTTTGTTAGCTATCGTATGTATGTTGCCCTTTGCAATCATTGTATTGTCAAATTTATTGATTTCCTTACAACGTCACAAATTAATCTCCTCAAACGTGTGTAATGAGGAAAGAAAAAATTTATTTAAATTTGACTCTTTTGAGAAGCGAGGAGACAACTCTCGACTATAATCTTGTATTTTTTTTGAAAAAAGTCTGGTATTGGGATCTGTGCTACAAATCATTTCTATTCAGACTAATGCCAGGTTTTCTAAAAGTACTAACGACCAGTTTTTGAATAACTTTTCAACGGTACAAGCTATAGAGGTCGGATTTCACCATTAGACAGAGCAAGGTAGGAGACACCGATCTGTATAAAATTCATTAGGTTCAAAGATCTTTCGTATAGCTGTTTGCAGCCATATATCTAATTTGTCATCTATTTTTATGAATTTTCGTGGTCAGTTAACATCAAACTAAACCAAAATGTAGCCCTAATCGCCCTGTATGTGTGCTAAAATTTTCAAACCTTTGCGTTTTGCTCTTGAGTTTTTTTCCTTACTCTTTGATGTTAAAATATGAAAATTTTAGCACAAATACAGGACGATTTGGACTATATATTGGTCTAATTTGATATTATCTTACCACGAAAACTCATGAGAATAGATGAAAAATTAGACATCTGACTGCAAACTGCTATAAAAAATGTTTTCGAGTCTAATGAATTTTATACAAGATCGATGTCTCCCGCTTTGCTCTTTCTAACGGTGAAACCTGACCTCTATAGCTTTTATCGTTGAAAAATTATTCAAAAAATGGTCGCTAGTACTTTTTAACCCTAACATGACCACCTGGGGTCCGTACGGATCCCAATGAATTTCATTTTTGTGTTGTATACGTGCAACATCAGATCAAATTGCTCTCATCTAGATATGCTCTAATGAAGACTAGTAGAGTATGGCGTTGACATCAGCTGTCCATCATCATTCATTGTTTATTAGATATTTTATTACAAAGTATAAATAAACGCTTGTCGACTACCTGGGGTCCGCCCGGACCCCATATCATTTTACTAATTTACACTCATTTTTCGACCGTAATTTTTTAAAATTTACCGTTCTGTATTTTTGTTTTGATTTATTTGAGAATATTCCAGAATGTTCTTATAAGTTTTATAGAGTGTAGACGATTGTAGAATATTCTAATTTTTGCGTTAGATCACTTTCGAAAGCGATTCTGTCACTTTCTGGAATGTTTCGCCTATCATATAAATAGTCGAGTAGCACCATCAAGAATATATTGTTACGTTCAGTGTATATTCTGTTCTCACCCTATGTTTTTATTGTGAAACTTTTCAACATTATATTTAAAGGGTGTGGGTGTGGGTGGATGGGTGTGGGTGTGGGTGTGGGTGGATGGGTGTGAGTGTGGGTGTGGGTGGATGGGTGTGGGTGTGGGTGTGGGTGTGGGTGGATGGGTGTGGGTGGATGGGTGTGGGTGTGGGTGGTGTGAGTGTGGGGTGGGTGGGTGTGGGTGTGTGCGGGTGTGTGGGTGTGGGTGTGTGTGTGGGTGTGGGGGGGGGGGGGGGGGTGGATGTTGGCGTGCGTGTGGGTGTGGGTGTGAGTATGATTCTTGTATTTATCTACATCCACAGCCACCCCCCACACCCACATCCACACCCACACACCCACACCCACACCACCCATACCCCACACCCACCCACATCCACACCCACATCCACCCACACCCCACACCCATATTATTCTTAAGAGAATTAATCATTTCCAATTTACTTCTAGTCAGTAATTCGTCTCGTATGGGGAGCAATTTGTCTTCTACGAGTGACGACTCATCTTGTATGGATGATGATTCATCCACAACTCTATCAACGGCTAAATTGACAACAAAGCAAACAGTAAGAATTTTTTTTCGTGTAGAAAATCAATAGACAGTCCAGTCAGAAAGTATCTATTCATACTTTCTTTTTCCTTTTGTTTTTATATCGTCAATCGCCACTATAAAAGTTGACTATAAATCATAAACTTTCATTTATTTAGATAATTGAAGAGATGTAATCGAAAATCGAACAAATGGAATCAAAAATCGAACGAATGGAATCAAAAATTCAACAAATAGTGAAAAAATTACTTCAATCTGAAGAATGTTTACCAATGTTGGAAAAGATGATCGTTGATGAAGTTTTAAATATTGACATATTAGTCACTACAATGTTCGAAGTAGTGGATACACTGAACGAACAAACATTAACACGTTTATCAACATATATTGCTCAATATATCACGACACACAAATCATTTTCTTCACTTGAAGAACAATTAGTGAATATGAATTTACATCGACAACAATTAATGAAAAGAATTTTACATAATATTCGTAAGAATCATGTTTTCATTTATTTAATAATAAAATAACGTTTATTTAGATGAGATAATCAAAAGAAATGGCTATCAAACGTTTGATGCTAGCTTCATATTTAACTATGCGGATTTATTGGAGCATATGTTGTAATAAATGGAAGTGAATATATGTAAAATATAAATTTTTTTTTGTGTAAAATGAATTATGTTCTTATGAATATATTGATAAAAGAATATCTAAATACATCTTTATGGTTTTCATTCATGTGTATATAGCAATTGTGAAAAAAATTAGGAAACAATGAAAATATTCTATTTTAGCAAATAAACATATCGATAGAAACATGGACAAAAAGTTCTTATAGTGATGTTATCGATGAAATATTTTCACAATGAATACAAATAATGTTTAATAAGAGAAAAGAAAGGTGTAGAAACATGTTGATGACATAGTATTCATTTTGTTACAAAATCTTATTTTCATAAATTAGATGAAATATTCCAGAACAAAACAATACATTCCATAGACAGTGTTGGAATTTCTCTCAGAAACATCTTACTTAATATCCATGTCTATATCTACTAACATAGACAAAATATGTCGTTTTTTGCCAAAGGTTTTCTCATTTCTCACTATGTTCTAGAGGAACTTGCCAAGAATGAATAGATTGACTATTGTGACGGTTCCAGATTCGAATCGATTTTTTTCACAAACTATGAGACAGTACTCCATCATCGAAGATTTTTTTAGTTACATCACTCATCCACTATTACTTCTAAACGTTAGACATACTTTAAATCAATAAATTGCATTGCCTGATGAAAATACCTTCATCTAATTGGTTGATTTACATCTTTGTATAAATGACTTTTCCTTTGTTATAATAATTGATCATCAATGACTGCTTCTCATTTAGAGAATGTTCATCAAACATAACCATTCATATATATATATGTCTACATCAGCTTTAATCTAGACAGGCAACGTATCAACAATGAACTGTTTATCAAAAAAGAGTATGTATAATCTACTTAATAATATGATTAATAAAATGATTTTTGTGCATGAAAGATGTTGTTGAACTAGTCGATTTAGCAGATGAGTTAATATTATATATTATGAATAAAGTTAATCCTCGTGTGCTATTACTTTGTTCTATGATTGATATTGATAATAATCATTTAGAAGCACTTGGATTTGATAGATATCATTCAATCGATTTAACTTTTGATTATCATCGAGCATCACATCAATTACTTCTTCGACGCTTTTATTCAGATGTTATGGCTCGTATCAGCCATTATATTCAATCATTAAAAATTAATCTTGATCAAATATGAAAAATTAAAAGTTTTGTTGAGAATAATTGTAATGGAACTCTTCCAAATGTGAGACACTTGAAAATAACGCTGGGTGCCAAACAAGATAAAACAGACATACCTTATACAATAGATAAATAATCATTGATCCGATATTTCTAAACCGTATTTATATATCGCATTGTTTTCTTTTCTCATCAGAAAAGAAACAAAGTTCTATCATTTGAGAATTGAAGTATCCCTTGTTAATGTCTTATTAGACAAGAGAACCTAATTAACTTTTCTTGTTTAGAGAAAGATCACACGTTGCAAATAATCAGTGAAATACTTCCGAGATCGTTTCACTTTTTTAACTTATAAAAGCTTTTCTTAGAATGAGCATAGATCGAACAAAATATGTCAAAGTCTTGTTGATTTGTCGAATGATGACCATCGAAAAAGAACTAGTTTAATCAAATATGATATAATAATAGTTGTGCATATGTATTTCAGTAAACGATGAGATGATTGGGTGTGAGTGTAGGTGTGGGGTGTGGGGGTGGGTGTGCATGTGCGTGTGTCTGTACATCTTCTCTTGAGAGACATCTATACCCACACCCACACCCTCAAAACGATAGTTTCCATTTAAGAGCAGACAAGAACTCTATAAATGTAGCACTAAGTCAGAATGGACAAAACTTGAAAGTAATTTAATTTTCAGTACTTTTCTTATCAGAATTACAGTTAAATTTACAACTAGACGCTTTCTCGATACACTTCAAATTTAAAGTTATCAGATGATTTCATATGAATTAATAAACTTTGTTGCCACTTGTTTATGTTATTAGTGAAAGAAAAAATACATATTGCTTAGACATTCAAAATTTTGTGTGACTAAATCATTATAAATCAGCTTGTTCACTACAATTTTCTTTTCAAGTACCTTATTTATAGCATCGAAATATTGTGATTCAAGTTGTACTTTTTTTTCGATTAATTATTCATTTTATCAAAACTATTTAAATGTGAGTAAATATCAGTCGGTTTAAATATTATTATAAATATGATTGTCGTCATTTTCTTCCTATAAAAGACAAGTTCTTCTTTGTTCTTTCCAATATCACTAAAGAATCCAGTTAAGAAGTTCCGCTTATTGAAAAGACCACATGTTCTATTTTCGGAATAGTCAATAATGTGAATTATTCTTCTTTCAGGGCAAGCCCTTTAAATCAATAAATTCATCAGAAGATTTTAAACACTAGAACAAAACAAAACACAATGAAGTTTGATTTTATTCAGATAAGAAAATTTATTTATTTCGAAATGACGAATAATTAGAGTTCGACAAATTGATGGAATCTGTCATATTAATATCAGGAAGAAAAATATACAGCGAGATCATGATTAGTCGTATGGTATATCAGGGACTATAAGTACTTTGGAAAAGCACAATACATAACTCGTCAATAATTAGCTCACTTTAATAGTTACTCTGGATTCAACGGTCACATATAATTTCATGGATATTGATGCTAATTGTAGCACGGTGAGTATCATTAAGATATTGTAAACGTAAAAATTTTCTAAACCAAATAACCCATACTGTTGCCACTTATCCATTCCTAAAATACAATACACTCCATCAGAACTTTTTTCTGTTTTTATTTAATCTTCGAATCATCAACAATAGTGAGTAAGAGGTTTCATAGAATTCTTAAAATGTCAAAAGAAGATACTCATTAAAAGAAAAATTTTGTGTTATTTCTGAGCAAGAGATACATATGAATTAGCTTTTTAATTTCATATATGGCTAGAAGGTGACGACGAGCACTAGTGCCACTGTAAGTCGGTGCGGTCGTCTTCGACAGAGTGCTGAGCTGATCTAAATATAAACGTACAGAATAATGATACAGTGAAGACGGTGAACACATAAAAAAACTATGTTGATTTTAGATTCATTTCGAATCTTCCAGTCGAAGATTTATTTTAAGCAAGTAGCCTAATTTTTATAAAACATGGCTAATGAGATAATATTTCCAAGTGCGCAAACGCTTTTTCATCGAGTATACGTTCATATAATAAAGCTCAATGATCTATTAAAAGTGATGATGCATTTGACATTAAGGATATAGGTGTATGTGGCTGTTGATAATGATAGGTTGCATAAACAGAAACCAAGATCCACACTCACACTCCAACATTCTATTGAATCAAGATTATTATGAGTTACACATGTAATTATGGATGAGATGTTACTTGCATCATTTGTTTATTGAATTAATTCATGTGACTTATTCGTTAGAGATGATCTATTATTTTGATATCTTCTATCAAATAATGAAAAATCGAATCCATCATTCGATTAATATTGTAAATATTATTGAAACGACCTGAACAATGAATGTCACAATCTTTCAAACATTAACAGAAACATATTAAAGTGTATTCACAAATAATTACTAGGAAATTTTCAACAATATGAATCGTTTCTGGTACAATATAAGCAGCAAATAATAGTATCATAATAAGTATTAAAACAATATAGATGACAATCTGTTGAAGGGATATTATCGAAAAAATATATAAGATAATATCCTTACTAATAAATGAA